GAAGTGCACAGCTTGGGGTCCACAGCTAAGGCAGCGTGTTCCCAGGGCCTGACTGAGAGAGGCAGCAAGCAGGGACAAACCCCAGGTCGCCACCTGCTCTCAGAAATTCAGCACCGAGAACAGCGACCGACTTCACTCATGGCGCCCTCTGGTGCTCATGATGAGCAAACGCGGCCCGGGAAGCTGGTCTGCCTAAGGGACTGGAGGGAAGGGGTGGAGAGCAGCGGGCACTGCCATTGCCCCAAGCCTCCGCAGGTTCAAGACCTGGAAGTTCCACTTCTGACCCAGCTCCCTGCTAATACTCCTGGGAAAGAAGCAGAGGATGGGCCACGTGCTTGGAAAGCTGCCTCCACATAGGAGACCGGAAGGAAGCTCCAGGCTCAGCCTGGCCCGGCTCTGGCCATTGTGATCATTTTGAGAGTGAAACAACAGATGGAAAATGTCTCTCTCTCTCTCTCTCTCTCTCTCTCTCTCTCTTTCTCTCCTCCCTCCCTCCCTCTCTCCCTCCCTCTCTGTCTCTCCTCCACTGTGACTCTGCTTTCAAATAAATTAAAACAAACCTTTGAAAAGAGGGAATAAATGGCCACTTCCCACACAGCCACAGTTCCAGCACCAGGCCTAACTGCGCAAGAGCGGGTGCTTAGAACCCACAGGGGAGGCCCCAACAAGAGTTTCCTGCACGACTCCATGATGTCGAGTGTAACAGGAAGACAAAGAAGTCAGCTGGAGAGAGTTCAGTCATGCGTCCCGAGCCTGGCCAGCCTGCCTCTCCAGACCGGGGGTCCCTGACACCAGGCGTCCCATGACGGAAGGCCAGGGAGAACCACCTTGCCAGAGTGCCCCCTGACTTTGGCAGCCCACCGGGCTTTTCTAGGAGACATGGCAGGGCAAGCACACGTGGCATGACTCATTCGATAAAGTTCAGCCATCCAGAGACCACTGGCACGAGCCTCTCGCCTGCACGGGGCTCCCCTCTCTGGCACGTGGCTCAGCAGCCTGGGTCCCACTGGAGGCAGTGGCCCAGACTCACTGCTTGTTGGGGAAGAGACTCCCTAGGGAGAGAATGAGGGCAAGAGGAGGAGGAGCTGGCACAGGCAGGCACCCCGCCAGCCCCGGAAGCAGCAGGTACACAGGCTGTGGTGAAGCCAGCCCAGCGTGCCCCAGGGCCGGAAGGATGTCCACGGGTACTAAGTGCTGAGCTGAGCACAGATGGGACGGCAGAAGTCAGTGTAGAGCTGAGGGCTCAGCGCTCGCCGTGCCGGCGCCTTGTTGGGGCGCTTCCTACCCAGCTCCCTGATGCTCCTGGGAGAGCGGCAGAAGAAGGCCAAGGTGCTCAGGCCCCTGCCAGCCAGGTGGGGCCCCCTGGATGGAGTGCCCAGCCCCTGGCTTTAGCCTGGCCCAGCCCCAGAGTTGGAGAGAGTCGGTGGGTCTCTTTCCCTCACTGTCTCGGCTTTTACAGATTTACTTGTTATTTAAAAGGCAGAGTGAGACAGGGAGAGACAGCTCCTCCGTCTGCCAACGGCTGTGCTGACCACAGGTGGGCCAGCCGAAACTGAGAGCCGGGAGCTTCTTCTGTGGTCTCCCGCACGAGGGGAAGGGCCCAAGCACTCAGCCCACCCACCCCCTGCTGCTTTCCCAGACCATAGCAGGGAGCTTTGTTGGAAGTGAAGCGGACATGACGAACTAGGACCACAGGAGGAGGCTTAGCTTGCTATGCCACAGTGCTAGTCGGCCCTAGCGAACAAATGTTTCAAAAGAATTCAAAGAGAAGGTCTGTGCCGGGAGCCTCAGGTTTCCAGCAAAAGGAGATGGTGTCCTGCCAGGTCAGCAGAGGGCAGGGCAGTGAGGGGAGGGACAGAACCTTCCCTTGCCTGAGCATCAAAGCCACAGTTCCCAAATGACACAGGGTGGCAGGAGGGACCCTGGCCTGGGCAGGGCTGTGTCCTGCAAGGCCCCGGCTCTGGGCTGGCCCTGCTGTGTGGCTCCCCCCTCCACACCAGCCAGGCATCCAGGGGCAGCCTTTATATTCCCCTTTCTGATCATGCTGAGACCACAAGCCCTGGCCCACACCCAGCTAGACAGCCTCCTGCTGCAGGACACCAGGCAGTGGCTTCCAGGCCTCATGTAGAAGTGGGTGGCCTGTGGTACCTGCCCTAAGTGAGCAGCAGGCAGACGAAGGCTCCGCAGGTGCCAGCTGTGCCTGGTGTACCAGTAATAGGGTTAACCCTACAGCTGCCTGCCATCTGCTCCTGCACAGCTCCTGCAGGGCTGTCACTCAAAGGGCCCAGCTCTGGCAGCCACCGCAGAGCCTGTAGGAACAAGCCAAGCAGCCTCCTTCCCCCAGGCTTTGCCAAGGGCACTTCTCGTTCCCCGGGGCCTCCTGGGAGTGCAGCTAGAGGGGGAGAGGCAGTGGTGCAGCCCAGGACAGGCTGGAAATCGGGGCTGCGCCGAGCGAGGCTGCTGCTGACGGCTCCTCACTGGGGAAGGAGTCTCAGAGAGGAGCCTGAGCTGGGGCGGAGGACTCAGCCCTGCCATGCGCTGGCTGTGGCCTGGTGCGCACAGTCTCCACGCTGCGCCTCGGCCTTCTCCTCCGTGGGATGCAGGTGCATCTCGGATGGCTTGTCCCTGCAGCATCCTTGTGTGGCGGCAAGGAACGTTTAGGAAGCAAGCTCACACTTTGCTGGGAAGGACCAGGGACCCCATGCCACTCGGCCTTCCTATGTGACCATGTGCTCCGGCAGTTGGTGTCCACCACAAGCTGACATGGCTAGGAGGGAGCCTTGCCCGGGCCTATACCACTTAGGTTTCCTGCATTGGAGGCTGGAACATCGGCCCTGAAGGCCCCTGCCATCTTGGACTCGGTACCATCTACTTCCCCTACATCGGCTTCCTTAAGATTCACACGGCTGCTATGGGCGCCGGTTCTATCCCGGCAGCCCCGCTTCCCTTCCAGCTCCCTGCCTGTGGCCTGGGAAAGCAGTCGAGGACGGCCCAAAGCTTTGGGAACCTGCACCCGCGTGGGAGACCCGAAAGAGGCTCCTGGCTTCGGACCGGCATAGCATCGGTCGTTGCGCTCACTTGGGGAGTGAATCATCGGATGGAAGATCTTCCTCTCTGTCTCTCCTCTCTCTGTATATCCGCCTTTCCAATGAAAAAATAATAAAAATAAATCTTTAAAAAAAAAAGGTTCACACACCTGGGCCCGGCGCCATGGCCTAGTGGCTAAAGTCCTCGCCTTGAACGCACCAGGATCCCATATGGGTGCCAATTCTAATCCCAGCAGCTCCACTTCCCATCCAACGCCCTGCCTGTGGCCTGGGAAAGCAGTTGAGGACGCCCCAAGGCTTTGGGACCCTGTACCCGTGTGGGAGACCGAGATGAGGTTCTGGGCTCCTGGCTTCAGATTGGCACAGTACTGGTCGTTGCAGTCACTTGGGGAGTGAATCATCGGACGGAAGATATTTCTCTCTGTCTCTCCTCCTCTCTGTATATATCTGACTTTGCAATAAATAAATCTTAAAAAAAAAAAAAGATTCACCTACCTTCTATGTTCAAATTCTGTTGTCTGCCAACCCACTGTAACTTGGCAATCCTATTCCCACTGATCTGCTGTAACCTCACGGTGCCCCATAAACCACAACTGACCCACTCCCCCTGCAGCCTCTCCCCTTAAGCCCCGCCCACCTGCTAATCCCGCGCAACACCAACAATCCACCAATCTCTCACCACCCCGCGACGCCTGCCCCCGCTAAGGCACCCCGGTGTAGGTGGCTCTCCTGCCTGGGTGTGCTGCCCGCTTTCCCTGCCCGGCCATTCCCTGGTCCTTTGTCTTGTCCCTCCCCGTCCCTTGCAGTCCCCTCCTGTCACCCACCATGGCAGGAGACGTTTCTCTCTCTCTCTCGCTCTCTCGCTCTCTCCCTGGTCTGCCTCTACTCCCAGATCCTTGAAGCTTGTGGGCACAGACACTGCCTGCCACGACCTGTCCCTGCCTGTGGATCCGCCTCGAGGACTTGGCACTGCAGAGCAGCTGGGTGGGTGACCCCAAGGAGGACTCGGCAGCCTCACTGCCTGTAGGTTCTGCTGTCCAACTCCACCTGCAGCTCTCTGGGGCAGTCTCAGGTGCAGCCTGAAGTGGCCATGCACTGGACAGCCCTAAGTTTTCACTGCAACAGCTCCTTTGTGAAAATGTAACTATTAAGCAGGCGTCTACCAGGCACTGGCCCTGCCACTCACACCACAGGTGGGAACCAGAGCGTGGGCCTGAGTGTGGGAGCAGAGGCAGGCAGGGAGGGAACAGACAGGGCACAGCCAGCTAAGCTGCCACTGTAATGTCAGCATCCCAAATGAGCTCTAGCTAGTCCCACGTCCAACCCAGATCCCTGGGCAAGCAGCAGAGGATGGCCCTGCACTGACAGGGGACTTGGAATAAACTCCAGGGTCCTGGCTTCAGCTCAGCCCAGCTCTAGCCGTAGTGGCCATGGAAAAATCTGTCACTCTTTCATAGTAGCAAAACATCTCATTTTATAAATTATTCATGGTGGAGCTGGCTCTGTGGCATGTTAAGCCGGCATCCAATGTGGGTGCTGGTTAGAGTCCTGGCTGTTCCACTTCCTATCCAGGTCCCTGGTAACGTGACTGTTAGAGCTGCTGATGACCCCAGCGGCCACCACCGGCCGTCCCACTGGGGAAGTCCTCCTGCCCTGCTCCAGGCCCCTGGCTCCCTGTGGGCGCCCAGACCAGCCAAATGCTCCCCAACCAGGATGCCTTAGCACAAAAGCCACGAGCCTCCCTCGCTACCCCGCTGGGATCGGATCTCGCTACCCCCAGGCAGAGGGCCAGGGAGGCTATGGCAGACCGCCGGGAGCCGGGACGCGCGCCCACACAGAGCTTCCGGCAGGCGGCGGAGGGGACGGCCCGGAAGCCGGGGCCAGGGGCGGAGCAAGTGGCCGGTGCACGCCCCGGCCCGCCGGGTGCCGGAAGCAGCGGCCACCGGCGCTCGTCCCGCCGTCCTCGCAGCCGCCCGGATGGAGCCTCCGCTGCTGTGGCTGCTGCTGCTGCTGCTGCGGCCGCCGGACACCTGGGGCGCTGGCCCCGTGCGCCTCTTCGTGGTGCCCCACAGCCACATGGACGTGGGCTGGGTCTACACGGTCGAGGTGGGGGCCCAGGGTATCCCCAGGCGGGTTTGCGCCCTCGGTTTCTTTCTGTCTGGTGGCACGCACCCTGGGGGGAATGCCCAGGGAGGGAGCTGACCGCGGTGACCTCCTTTCCAAGTCCGGCCTGGGGCCAACGGGAGTGGACAGGCGACAGTCTGGCAGGCGCCTGAGGCTGGCCCCCTACCTACAGACAGGCTTTGGGGTCAGGCTCAGCTCGGCAGGACCTCGGGCAGGGGGCTTTGCTCCGAAGCCTCCCTTTGCCCATCTGCCCAGTGGCAACAGCAGACTTCCTAGGTCGGAGGAGCCCCCAGAACTGGTCTGATCCCTGGCGTGGCCGGCCAGCTGCGCTACAGGGCACCCTGCATGTCTGGTGGGGAGGAAGGCGGGGGCCCCAGCAGTCACCCTCACGTTCGGAGTTGTTCTCCACGGCCCTGAAGGGGGCAGAGATGCCTCACCCCCTGGAGCCCAGCACCCCAAGAGCCCCACCCCAGCCTCAGGATCCTTGCACTGGCTGTGACCCCACCCGCCCTGTCGCCTCCTCCCGGGCAGATGTGGGGTTCAGGCACTGCTTCCTTCCTGTTAACTTGGAAGTCATGTGCTGGGGCCTCCCTAAGCATTTCCCCCGGTGGCCCTCACTGTCCTGTGGGGTGCTCTGTGAACAAATGCATGAATGATGAAAGTGCAGAAAGAAAAAAGGGGAGAGCTCTGACCTCTGAGCCGCCTGGGGTGGACAGCTGGCTTCCCCCAGCTCTTCTGGGAAGGAGGGGAAAAAAATCCAAAAACAGTTCATAGAAGGGCAGGAGGAATGAGGAGGGAGAGTTGGGTGCCAAGTGTGGCTTCTGCTCCTGAGGCGCTCTGGGGAAGGGGCTTAGAAGGAGGAGCGGGGCAGGCGTTGTAATGCAGCAGGGACAGCCACTGCTTGCAGCGCCGGCATTCCACATGGGCTCCGGTTCAAGTCCCCCCCTCTCCACTTCAGCCCCAGCCCCCTGAACACCTCTGCTCCTTCAGCCCTGCCCTTCTCAGGCAGGCAGCCCCTCCACAGCAGAGCCCAGCCCCACGGGCAGGTGCACCCTGCGTCTGCCTGGGCGGAGATGCTGGATCCCGCTGGGGTTCTTCTGCTCCACTGGGGGGTCCCTCCTGCCAGCCCGGGACTTGATGCTGCCCCACCCCCTCCAGGAGAGCATGCGGGCATATGCAGCCAACGTCTACAGCACCGTGGTAGAGGAGTTGACCCGCGGGCCGCAGCGCAAATTCATCGCTGTGGAGCAGGAGTTCTTCCGGCTGTGGTGGGACCACGTGGCCTCTGACCAGCAGAAACTCCAGGTAATGCCTCCCGGTCCCCCCACCCCCTGCGATGGGAACTCACTGGGACCCGGAGCCCCAGCTGTTGGCAGGCATCACCTGGCCCAAAGACCACCCTGACTCAGGGTTTTTGCCAAGTCCAAGCTTTGGGTTAGGGTCAAGGTCAGGAATCTGAGGGAAATCTCGGGAAAGCTCCCTCGACTCGGCTGGATGAAGCAGCCCCACCCCCAGAGGCAACAGCTGCTGCGGCTGATGATGACCCAAGCCAAACCAGGCTGAAGCACCCATTAGCATACCCATTAGCTCTCCCCATGGGGCTCTGCCCGAGTCCCTCGCCTGCACTCTCAGGGCCACACAGCAGCACCTAAAACCACACCAGCAGCCCCAGGTGCCAATGACCAAATGTGCAGCTCAGATGCTGAGCCACCTGCTGCAGTCAGCAGAGCCAGGAGCCAAGTGGGGTCCCCCAGACCTGCTGGAGGGCACCCCTGTGCCGGAGCCCAGCTCCAGCCATGTTCAGAACTCGCAAAGGGTGCATGGATTAGGTGTAAAGAAGAAATGGACCACTACAATTTCAGGATCATAATGTTCCATTGCATTCATTGGGTATGTTTCAAAATTTGGGATTTGAAGTAGTTAAGTTAAACTGATATAAATCTAGTCCATCGTTTTAAACTAATGTTTACTCTAATGACAAACTAATGTTTAAACTAATGACAAAGGTTGAAACCTGACAATTCTTTTATATCTAAGCTTGAAAGCCCAAGTATCCCAACTGGGGTTTCTAACTGAACTCACAACCTACTAGGTTGGGAAAGGTTATGTTATGTTTTGTTATCTAGACTTCAACAAAGAGACGCCTCCAAGTGCCAGGCAGTACTTCAGACACCTGCTGAGGTCCACCTCCCGGGAGCCTCTGCGACCCCCGACTGCTGCTGTTGCTCAACAGCACCCCCTTCAGCTCAAAGCAGAGCGGTGGCCGTCCCCTTATCCCTACGAACAGTTGGGGTTCGTTCCTCTGTTTGGAAATGTGAGGAGTTAGATGGGATGGTAGGCAGTCAGGAACCTCTTCCGGGTCTCCCACGTGGGTGCAGGGTCCCAAGGCTTTGGGCCGTCCTCGACTGCTTTCCCGGGCCACAGGCAGGGAGCTGGAAGGGAAGTGGGGCTGCTGGGATAGAACCGGCGCCCATATGGGATCCCGGGCGTGCAAGGCGAGGACCTTAACCACTGCGCCACCACGACGGGCCCAGAACACAAGAATCTTAAGTAGATGAGCTGAGAAATCCCAAATTTGGCAAGTGAGGAAGTCTGCCTTAGGGCAGTGGGGGTATCCTACCTCAGCGAAGCCCAGGGAAGCCGAAGAGGGAGACGGCAAGCAAGGTCAGGAGCCTGGTCGGTGATGCAGGCTGAGCAGTTACAGACTAACTTTTACCTAGAAAAGTCTTCTTTTCTGAGCTTCTAGATTAGTCTGTCACCTAAGTTAATTCGGGGCTCCTGAGAGACCCTGATGGTCACCGTGAGAGTGGGAAGAAGCCAAAACTAGCTGGGACAGAGAAGGCAGTGTCCGGACGGAAACTTACGGTTTTCCCTTCCACTGTGAGAACCACCCGGGGCTCTTGGCTGCTGTTCCGTGGTGTCACCGAAGTCCGTGGATGGCCTTGAGCCTGTGCAGGTTCCCAGGCTGCTTCCCGTCCCATGTGGGAGATCCAATGGGAAATGACTGACCTGAAGTACTTGGCCTTCAGGGGCAGTCAGATCTCCAATGACCTCCTTGGTAGCTGGGACATGGCCCTGGGTGTCCTTTCTGATGATCCTTGGCGAAGTGTCCGTCACTTCTGCAATGAAGAGCACTTGGGAGGCCTCTGGGGGTCTCGCTGGAACCACACACCTCTCTCATCCCACCCTGCCATGGGATCCCCTCCTGGTCTCTGAGGTAAAAGACCATGGTGACCCCTTTAAGAGGGAATCAGGGTACTTTCAGGTCCCATTTGTAAGTTTCTAAAGCTTTTTCCTAATGTCAGGGCAGTTACGGACCTGTTATCTATACATCACCTGTTCTTCTCTACGTAGAATCTGATGGAATATACTTTTGCACCAGTCCAGCCATCCACCACTCAGATGTAACCCAGCATTTCACCTGAGAATCCCACCCCTAGTCTCCCAGCCCCATCCCCAGCTCTGCCCACTTTCCAATCATCCTTAGGCAATCACCTGTGACAGGCTCAGGCACCAATCCCCTGGGTCTGCCCTCAATCCCTCCCAGTCCCGCCCCCACACCTTGCAGGCTCACCTGAGTGACAAACAGGCCCCCAGTGTGGCTCTCTCTCTTCTCCTTCTGGCCTGCCACCCCTTCCTCCCTTCCCCTTTGCCTTTCCACCACCCTGTCCTGTTCCTGCCCTGCTGGAATAAACCTCCCAGATACCTTGTTGCGTCTGGCGTTTTCAGCTCTTGGTAAAGAACCAGGTGGTGGGAATTAGCTGCGTGAAATAATATCGTAAAAATATATGAACTAGAACTCCAACTTTTAAAAATAACTAACAGAGTTACACACATCACATAACCAACAGCGGGTGGATTCTGAGCTGAGTACATCTGACCAGAAACCTGCCAATCCAGGACTGGATGGCCCCCACCTCTGTACCTGACAGTGGTCTGTGCCCTGCCCTGCTCTGCCACCGAGAGGTGTGGCCAGCGTGTCCTAGGCCTGCAGAGCTGCAGGCACCTCCTGGCACAGCAGCCTAGAGGCAGGAAGTTTTGTCTGCTCTGTTCACTGCTGCACCCTGGCATACTGCAAAGGTTTATGTTCAATGTTTACTGAACTAGTGCCTGTAGAACAAAACCCCAGAGGCCAACCTGGAGACGGCAAGGCAGCCCAGCCCACCCGTTCGCGCCCTCACGAACCTTTTTTTTTTTTTTAGGACTTATGTATTTTTATTGGAAAGGTAGGTTTTTTTACAGAGAAAAGGAGAGGAAGATCTTCCATCTGCTAGTTTACTCTCCAAATGGCTGCAACAGCCAGAGCTGAACTGATCCAAAGCCAGGAGCCAGGAGCTTCTTCCAGGTCTCCCATGCAGGGGCAGGATCCCAAGGCTCTGGGCCGTCCTCTGCTGCTTCCCAGGCCACAGGCAGCGGCCATATGGGATGCCGGTGCTGCAGGTGGAGGTCTGGGCTAGTACTCCCTGATGCTGGTCCCAGGCCGTATGCTTTCTACGTGTGGAGGGTGGGGTGCTGTAGCCCTGCCCCACTCGCGAGCCTCAGCCTGGCCTCTCTCTCGGCCCCTCATCAGGTCCGCCAGCTCGTGCAGGAAGGACGCCTGGAGTTTGTCCTCGGGGGCCAGGTCATGCACGATGAGGCAGTGACACACCTGGATGACCAGATCCTGCAGCTCTCAGGTTAGACTGCCCTGCCCGTCCCCACGGCCCCTCCGGCAGGGCTGGGCCCCAAAGTGTGCACCCCAGGGGTGGAGATGGGGCTTCGCTGCTCATGCCTGGTCTGGGCAGGGAGCAAGAGCGTGAGTGGTGCGTCTGGGCTCTGGCACCTCCCAGCCTTGTGATCCTGGGCAGGGATCCTGCCGCACCCTGCCTTAGTTTCCTATTGAGGAGTTTGGTGGTGGTGTGCGCTGCCTCAAAGGGGTGGTGGTGGTGGTGGTGGAGTGTATGGTTCCCTCAGCCGATCATGGCTGCCTTCACCCCGGCGTCACCGTCACCACTGCCAGCATTACCATTATCACCGCCATCTCCAACGTCACCACAAACCCTCCACTGCGTGCTTACAGTGGGGGCACTTTTCTCACCACTTCCCAAATTCTCACAGCAGCCAAGAGAGTGTCCGGCTATAGCCAGGAGCCCAGAGCGCCATGTAAGTCCTTCTCCACGCCCACAGTGGGAAGGGACTGAAGTGCTTGGGCCACCATACACCATCTCCTGGCATGTGCATCAGCATGGAGCTGGACGGGGACCAAGGGAGCCAGGACCCAAGCTAGGTGCTCCAGTGAGGAAGCTGGGACATCTCCAGGTCAGGCGCTCCGATGGGGAGGCAAGCATGAACATAACCTTCATACCAAACACTGACCCATCTCATGGTAACCAGGTTCAAGCAGGGACTGGCCCAGAAGTGCTTTGTTGCAGGGGACAGAGCAGGACTGGGCATGATACAGCCCTGCTAGGAGTGGCCTCGACACCTGTGCGTCCACTTCCCAAACAGGCCCGACCTGCCGGGTGGCAGTCAGAAGCCCCAGTGAACATGGGGTTTGTCACTCAGGATCAGGAAGGGTCCTGGAGACCCCTGGCAGGGACGGGACTCCTGGGGGACAGACAGTTGCTTTTACATTGTTACTGCCTTACTCTCACCCCAGGACTGACGCTTTCTCCGAAGGATTTGTTTATTTATTTATTTAAAGGGCAGAGAGAGGAAGACAGAGATCTCCCATCTGCTATTCACTCCCCAAGTGGTTGTAATGGTGGGGCTGAGCCAAGCTGAAGTCAGAAGTTTTTCCCTGGCACCTCCACGTGGGTGCAGGGGTCCAGGCACAGCACTTGAGCCGTCCTCTGTCGCTCTCCCAGGAGCATTAGCAGGGAGTTGGATCCAAGTGGAGCAGCTGGGACTTGAAGCAGCACCCATATGGGATGCTGGCATGCAGGGGCAGCTTAACCTGCTGCCCTATAATGCAGGCCCTTGAACCCGAGCGATTGTGATGGGGGATTCGGCCTGCATTGAAACACAAGTGAATTGAGCCACAGCCTGTGGCAGAGCACGTGGGCTCCAGGCCCCGCTCTACCTGCGGGCCCAGCATCCTGCTTCTGTCTGCCCTGCCAGGATGGCTCCAGTGGTCGGGTCTCTCCCTCCCTGTGGCACTGTGCTGCTGATGCAAATAAACACATAAACCTTCAAACAAGAAGAGGAACGCAGAGTGTGTTGCCAGGGGCTGGGGTGGCAGGGTGAACCGGTGGACTGCGGGAAGGGTTTTGGCCAGGCAGGTGGAAAGTTCTGGAGACGGCGGCAGTGAAGGCCTCATGTCACTGAATGCACCTGTCACTGCTGAGCTGCGTTTTCCCTTACAAGTGGGTGCAAGAGTGCAGGGCATGTCCTGTGTGCTTTAATACAACGACAGTTACCGATGAGGGGCTGGCATTATGGCATAGCCAGTTAAGCCACCACTTGTGATGCCAGTGTATTATATCAGGGCACCAGTTCCCAGCTGCTCCGCTTCGATCCAGCTCCCTGCTAACGCACCTGGGAGAGTAGTGGTGGTGGCTGAAGTGCTTGGGGCCCTGTGCCCACATCGATGAGGCCACTTCCAGGAGGACGCTCCTGGCTCCTGGCTTCAGCCTGACCCAGCTCTGCCTGTTCTGGTCATTTGTGGAGTGAAGCAGTGAATCTCCCTGTCTGCTCTCCATAGCCCTGCCTTTGAAATAAAATAAATGAATTCTTACAAAGAAAAGGGGGCAGGGGGTGCTTGGCACGGCGGCCTAGTGCCTAAATCTTGCCATGTATGCACTGGGATCCCATGGGCTCCAGTTTGTGTCCCAGCTGCTCCACTTCCCATACGGCTCCCTGCTCATGGCCTGGGAAAGCAGTGGGGGATGGCTAAAAGCCTTGGGACCCTGCACCTGCGTGGGAAACTCTAAGAAAATTCCTCAAGAAAGCTCCTGGCTCCTGGCTTCGGATCAGCTGTGACCACTTGGGAAGTGAACTAGTGGACAGAAACTCTTTCTGTCTCTCCTCTCTGTAAATCTGCCTTTCAGTAAAAATAGATAAATCCTAAGGAAGGCAGGCAGGCAGGCAGTTAGTTGATAAAACCCTCCTCTACACCACCCACCCCTACTTGGCCTGGTGGCCAGCACTGCAGCCACCAAGAGGACAGGGACCGGGGCACCCAAGTGAGTGGGGTCGCGGGACCAGACCCAGCTTGCTACCCACCAGCAAGACCCATTGTTTTACAGAAGGACACGGGTTTCTGTATGAGACATTTGGCATCCGGCCCCAGTTCTCCTGGCACGTCGATCCGTTTGGCGCCTCTGCTACAACCCCCACTCTCTTTGCCCTGGCGGGCTTCAATGCGCATGTCATCTCTCGGATTGACTATGACCTGAAGGACGCCATGCAGGAGGCCCAGGTGGGTGGATTGACCACGACCTGAAGGACGCCATGCAGGAAGCCCAGGTGGGTGGTGCACTGCACCTGCCGCCGCCCTCAGCCTGCCCTGGCCCTCTACGAAGCCACAGACACACATCCGAGCCCTGGGCAGCTACACAGACTACTAGATTGGCCCAGCCCTGCCTTTCTACCTGCTGTTTGCTGTGCTGGCGTCCCTGTCTCCCCTACTTGACTTGCTTCTCCCAGAGCTACAGGTTGCCTCCTTTGGGCCCTGCAGCTAGGCTGGGCATGGCCTGAGGCCTGGGCCTCCCCAGGGACCCTCCAGGCCTGCTGGCTGCTGGTAGCAGAGCAGCTGTAAACAGTAGGTGCTGCCTTGGAACTGGTGCCCAGGGGTAGACACCCTTCGCCTCCTTGGAGCAGACAGTAGGCATGTGGTGTGGGGAGGGTCAGGAGGAAGCCTCTGTGGCAGCTTGTGCTGGACGGCTGAGTGAGTGAGGTGGAGCATCCCTGGCAGGGCTGGGCCCTGACCCTGGGAGCTCACTCTGTCCCCCGGAACCCGCAGGGCTTGCAGTTCGTGTGGCGGGGGTCCCCGTCGCTGCGGGAGCAGCAGCAGATCTTCACGCACGTCATGGACCAGTACAGCTACTGCACCCCCTCCCACATCCCCTTCTCCAACAGGTGCGTGTCCCAGGGCAGCTGCCCCGCCCTCCCCCAGGGACCGGGGACCTGGGCCCAGCGGCTTCTGCCCACGTGTTCCGCGCCCCTTGCACAAATGAAGCTGAGGCTCACAGAGGCTAAGCGGCCAGGACCTCAGCAGGCACCTGGGGGGATGCAGGAGTTGGTGCCAGCCCTGTGGGACTCAAGCACGATGACTAAGGATGAGCGACTTGGTCAGCTCTCCCCGAGCCCCATAGCCTGACCCTGCCCATCCCTGCCGGCCCTGGGCCTGAGCCTGACCCCCAACCCCCACAAGACAGCTGAGCCCTGCCGGGGTGAAGGGGGAGTTGTAGCCCACCCCCTGGAGCTGTGAGGTGCCCCCACCCTGGGTCCCCGTCACCCCTACTGGCCGGCACAGGGACACCTGCCCTGCCTCTGCCCACCGGTGTCACCTGACCCATGCCTGGCTGTGTTTGCCAAGGGCCTTGATCCGAGGGTCTGTCCGCTGTCCAGGATCCTGAGGAAACAGGCTGGGGCGTGGGAGGAGGAAAGGCTGGGAAGGAGATACTGGACAGGACCGCTGCTCCTCATGGTTGTGGGGTCACTTCCTGCCACCTCCTGTTCATGGGGCTGGTGAGCAGGGGGTCCCTGCCCCTAGCATTACCAGGTGGCAGCGCTCATGGTCCCCGGGGCTGAACACCGCGTCACACAATCAGCCCCGATGAGCTCACAGGGTGAGCTGTGTGGCAACTGCAGGGCACAGTGTCCAGCTCCAACACAAGGTGCCGTGGGCCCTGTGCAGGGAGGTGAAGCCCCTTGGGTTGAGCTGGCAGAGGCAGGGGGAGTGCCCCGCTGGTGCAGCCGGGAGTGGAGCAAGGAACTCTCAGTGGGTTTGGGGGGCAGACCCCTAACATCTCTTCCCCACCCCTAGTAACGCTGCGGTGTGGCTCACAGTGGGGGCGGGAGTGCCAGGGTCTGCAGGTGGGCCACAGCAGGCTGTGAGAGCAGTCACTGCTGGGACTCTCCGAAGCGTATTTCCCAGGAGAATCAGCAGTGACCCACCCAGCGTCCCACGACCATCAAGGAGAACTGGTCCCGTGACAGATGCAGCCCGTTGGCTCTGAAGTGTCCACCCGGTAGCAGCAGACAGCCCTGGGGTCAGGAACCCCATCTGAGTCTCCCGAGGGTGGCAGGAAGGAACGTGGTTTTGAAGGTGTTGTGCCAGGGACGGGCGCTGGGCAGCGGGCTAATTCTCCCGCTTGGGATGCTTGCTCCCTTTGCAGCGTCACTTCCTGCTGACGCACCGGGGAGGCAGCGGTGGGCGGCTCGAGTGCTTGGGGCCCTGCCACCCACGTGGGGACCTGCGTGCAGTTTCGGGCTTCTAGCTTTCGGCTGGCCCGGGCCTGACCGGTAGGGGCGCTTGAGGAGTAGTCGGTACATGGACAGACTCACTCATGCGCTCTCTATCACTCTACATATCAAATAGATGATATTAAATCGGGGTAAAATAAGGAAAATGTTACACTAAAATGATTTTTCCTAGACAATTTAAATGTAAGACCGCCCCTTCAGTTTGTTTAAATTAATTTAATTAATTTTATTGGAAAGTCAGCTATACTGAGAAGGAGAGACAGAGAGGAAGATCCTCCATCCACTGATTCACTCCCAAATGGCTGCAACGGCAGAATGGAGCTGATCCGAAGCTAGGAGCCAAGAGCTTCCTCTAGGTCTCCCACGTGGGGGCAAGGTCCCAAGGCTCTGGGCTGTTCTGGACTGCCTTCCCAGGCCCCAGGCAGGGAGCTGGATGGGAAGCAGGGCTGTTGGGACAGACAAGAACCAGTAGCTATATGGGATCCCAGTGCATGCAAGGCAAGGGTTTTAGTCACTAGGCCACTGTGCTGGGAACCTCCCCTTCAGTTTTGTACCAACAAGAGGACTGTCTCACCCCAGCCCCAGGCCTCTGGGGACGCTGAGATCCCAGCTCTGAGAGGGTAGGTTGCCCTGGGAGTAGGGGGAGCAGCAGCCGTGAGCTCCCTGTGGCAGCTGGGGCCCAGCAAGTGCACGGGGTGCCTGGGTTCTAGCCCCAACTATCCTCTGAATTCTGGGTCTCCCTCCTGCAGGTCAGGGTTCTACTGGAATGGTGTGGCCGTCTTCCCAGAGCCACCTCAGGACGGGGTGTATCCCAACATGAGCGAGCCCGTCACCCCGGCCAACATCCAGCTGTATGCTGAGGCCCTAGTGGCCAACGTGAAGCAGAGAGCCGCCTGGTTCCGGACACCCCTCATCCTCTGGCCCTGGGTAAGGCAGGATGCCAGGCCCCACTATTCCAACTTGTCCCAGCCCAGTGCCGAGGACCACACTGGCCAGTGTCTATCCTTTCTCGGAGCTCCAGCCTGCCCTGCATCCCCCCGGCCCCTCTTAGCTCTGCTGGCCTCCAGCTTCCAGCCAGCACCCTCTCCTGCCATCACAACACATGAGCCCCATCTGTCCCCACCCCTCGGTCTTCACTGTCCCTTAGCGCCTCTGAGTTTGATTTGCTGGTCTGTGAAATAGGCCAAAGCTGTCACTCTCATCACTACCCTTTAGTAGGCACCAGCTGTATGCCAGGCTCCATCCAGCTACCTGGCCCTGCCATGCCAGGGAGGCAGTCTGACTGATGCCTCATTTTGTAACTGAGGGGGCTGAGGCCCAGAGGGTCACGGCATTGGGCTGAGGCCGCAGAGCTCCTCAGGAATGGGGGAGGAAGGCGTGGGGTCAGTGCCCAAACCCACTGCACGTGGCCGTGACTGTTGTACACAGTTGGTGCTGAGCACTAATGCAGGGCAGCCTTTCAGAGACACCTGCTGGGTGCCAGCCATGCCCCCTCCGCTTTACCGCTCGTTGGCCATCACGGTGTGAACACCGTGGGGCTTTACGGGCAGAGGCACAGGACCCCGCTCCCATCCGGCCCGCAGGGGTGCGACAAGCAGTTCTTCAACGCCTCGGTGCAGTTTGCCAACATGGACCCCCTGCTGGCACACATCAACAACCACACCGCTGAGCTGGGGGTCACGGCGCAGTACGCCACGCTGGCTGACTACTTCCGGGCCCTGCACGCCCTCAACGTCACCTGGGCTGTCCGTGACCACCACGACTTCCTACCCTACTCCTCAGGTACGAGACTCCACGCTGGGCTGGCACTTCTGTGCCGGGGAGGGCACGGACCTTCTGCCCACCCAGGGCTGCCATCCCTACTCCTCGTCCTGCTCCACCCCATGTCCAGTGCTCAGGGAGAAAAGGGAAGAGATGGGCTGATCTGCCTGTAGCTGAACAGCGTCAAGCCACCCTCCTGGAAGAGGAGGAGGAGGGTCTGGGGTTTTGCAGCAGGAGGTGCTAGGTCACCCATAAGGGGCAGGTGGAAGGACATGGCATCGCTGGCCTGTGAGAACCTTGAGGGAGCTGAGGCTGGGCAGAGGCAAAAACTGCCAGCCTCCCCTTGGGCCCGGGGCAGCTGCCCTCCCACCCCCTCCAACACCCCCACAGCAACAGACCATGATTTGCATGCACACTTGGATCTGGGTCACTTCTCCTCCCTGCACTGCAGTGGCTTCAGGCCCACAGTGACACCTGAGCCCCATTTGTGTCGTAGGTGAAGTGGGTGCTTGGGAGACCACTGCCCTTTCCTGCTGCCCCCTCTTTCCTGGGGCCCCAGCTCATCCCCCCAACCTTGGGGTGCTGCTGGAGGGACCCTGGCCTGGGGGCTTGTCCAGCTAGGTACTGGCCACCTCCTGCTCTTCCCTCCATGGCCATCCTTGTCCTCCAGCCCCATCCTGAGCTTGTGTCTGACCATGGCTCTCCAGCACGCAGCCTGGCACAGGCCCCAGCCCTGATGGGGCTCCCTGGACAGCCCTGCGCTGGCTGGGAGCCCCGTGACCACCGCCCATGCAGCCTGCACCCTTGGCAAGCCCCTGCAGGCTTGGCCTTCCCAGAGTGGTCTTGGAAAGGAAGCGTGTTTTCTGCCCAGGATGGAGGACTTGGGCGGGGTCTCCCCAAACCTGCCAGTAGGGGGAGGGAGGGGCTCACCGTGTCTGTTGTCACACAGAACAGTTTCAGGCCTGGACGGGCTTCTACACATCACGCAGTGCGCTCAAGGGGCTGGCACGGCAGGCCAGTGCCCTGCTCTCCGCCGGCGAGTCCATGTTCACGCGCGCCATGTGGCCGGCCCCCACCGGCACCCTGGACCCGGCCTGGGCCCTGCAGCAGCTCCGGCAGCTCCGCTGGGCTGTCTCAGAGGTGACCGCTCCTTGTCCTCCCACGGCCCCAGCAAGTCCTCCCAGCCAGAGGTGACTCCCAAGGTTCCCTGTGGTCACAGGCAGGGTCCAGGCCGTGCAGCCTCCAGCTGCAGCTTCTCACTAGCTTCCCCCCCGGGAACAGACGACGTAGGGCCAGACCTCAGTTCCCATGTCCATGCTTGGCCGTGCGATCCCAGGCGCAGGACTGCCCCCTCGGTGTCCCCCTCGCCTCCCCATCCGATGATGATGACCGTGATGGCCCAAGAAGGTGGCAGGTTGGCCAGGTAGCATCATTCATGTCACCTGCCTGTTACAGCGGCTGCCACCCGGCAAGTCCTTTCCGAACCTGCAATCGCAAATTGTATAGAGGGAAAGGCGAGACAAAGCAGGCCTGTCCTGGCTCATGGCTGGGACATGACATACGGGGCTCACAGCCTTTCCTGTGGGACCAGGGGCCCCCTGCTAGGGGTGTGCTGGTTATTGCATGCTGGAACACACCTGCTGCTCACACAGCCCAGAGTGGTCATGGAAAGACCGCGTGTTTTCTGCCCAGAGGACGGGGTGGGATTCCCCCAGACCCATCAGCAGCTCCCGGCTTTGCTGTGCTGCGAGATGAGGAGCGCCTCTCCCATGCCGCCTCCTTCCCTAGCATCGGGCGCACTGTGGGTGCCTCACAGTCGGGTCCTGAGCCCCTTCTTCCTTGCCCTGGGGGTTGCTGCAGGTGCAGCACCATGATGCCATCACTGGCACCGAGTCCCCAGCGGTGAAGGACATGTACATGGAGCACCTGACTGCCGGCATGCGGGGCGTGCACAAGCTCATGGCCTCCATCATCTTGGACCAGCTCCGGCCCCCAGTGGCCAGCTCAGGTGGGGACGCCACAGGCCCTGTGTGGGAGGGAGTGCGAACTGCATGAGCTGGGCTGTTTAATCTGTCTTGGCCATGAGCTGGGGCAAGCAGCTTCCATAAGGGTTAGTGTCAGCGTTCAAGCAAGGAGTAACCAGCCTTGTGAGTGCTGACTAAGCTGCAGTACTCATGTGGCAGCTGACTTAGTGCCTCATAGCATCTCTGTGAGAGCCGCCCCACTGGCCCCTTGTCGGGGCCTGCCCCAGTGAGCCCACTCTGTGTGTGGGGCACAGGGCCTGCAGGACACACTGCTTCAGTGTACAACCCGCTGGCCTGGACAGTCACCACCATCGTCACCCTGACGATCAGCTTTCCCGGAGTCAGCGTCACAGACGAGTGGGGCCACCCGGTGCCGGCACAGGTACTGACTCCCCAGCCTGCCAGGGTATACAGGGAACTCCCGCCATTCGCCGACACTGTCTGCTGCTCAGAAGGTGTGTGGAAAGCACAGATTACCAAAAAAGCCTCTACAGATGGTGGGCAGGGGACAGGCCCACAGGGGCGGATGGGAAGTACCCCTTGGATGGGGGTAGAGGGGTGTACCCAGGAACATAGCCAGCCAGCTGCCTCCCTGTCCAGGTCAATGTCCATGGGCCAGGCCGAGACCAGGGTGGCTAACCTGAGGTGGCCTTGGGGGACGGTGGGATTGCAAGGTCGGCTCAAGGCTGGAGCCAGCGGTGTGGGAGGGAGGAGCGGGCCTGACCAGGTAGAGGGGGACAGGGGTGGGTGTGGGGAGGTGTCAGAGGTGGCTCTAGCCACGTGGGAAGGGACCACAGGAGGCTCTGAGGCATCTGAGCAGGGGGACCTGGGGCAGTGTGGCCGTGGGGCCAGGGGCCTTGTGGGGGATTCCAGAGGGCGCAGGGCTCGGGGACGTCCAGGTGGAGGCATCAGCAGGGCGGGGTCTCCAGCACAGAAGGGCTGAAGATTGAAGGAGCTGGGAGACAAGCCTGGGCACCCAATAGCCACCTGCTGGTCGCTGGAGGGTTCCCCTGGGCTGACCCATGCCAGTGCCGCAGCAGCAGTGAGCACCCCTTCCTGGGGAGTGGGGGATGTGTGGCTGGGTTGCCGAGAAACTTAGGTCCTCCCACCTCACCGGCCCCCACAGGTCCAGAACTCGACCAAGGTCCTGTCCGCCTATGACCTGCTCATCTTGACCACGGTCCCCGGCCTCAGTCGCCGGGACTACCATCTCAGGCCTGTCCCAGAGGCCCAGGCGACCACGCGCCTTGCTGTCACCCGCCGGTTTGGCCGCAGGCGGAGGGGCTGGGGCAGCCGTGGGCGCCTGGTCCCTGTAGGGAATGAGTGCTACACCGTGCTGCTGGACACGGACACCGGCCTGCTGCACAGTGTTCGGGAGAGGTGAGGCACGGCGTGCCGCCCGCACCACCTGCCCTCCACAAGCAGACAGATCTCTCCTTGGCAGTGCTCACCCTGGCCAACTGCAGAGAGCAGCCTCTCAGCACGTCCCACACAGTCAGCCCTCGTCCGCCTGCCTGCCCATCCAGCAATGGGGATCAGGAATGAAGCTGTGGGGACTCAGACCTGTACCCACATGGCATGCCAGCTTCACAGCAGCTTAATGCGCTGCAACACAGCACAAACCCACTTTTCCTGGTTTTCCCTCCAGAACTGGCCTGGGGCAGTGTGGTCACGCCTGCGTAGTGGCACTCTTTGCTCAGCAGTGCTGTCGCCCTGGGTGGGGTCCGAAGGGCTGGGTTTGTACTTGGCCCCAGGCGTGTCCCCCTGCTCCTCCCCAGGCTGTGTGGAGAGCGTTGCCCCTCCCGCCGGGCTCGCAGCCAGCGCCCAGGCAGGGGCTCGTGTGCCTGGCACGGGCCCCCGGAGCAGTATGCGTGGAACATCACGTGTTCTCTGTCTCACTGTGGCAGCCATGGTAACCGGACAGTGCGTCTGGTGCAGGACCTGCTGGAGTACCACGTCAATGGGGACGTGGGGAAGGGCCCCGTGTCCGACAACTACATGTTCGCACCCAACCAGAGCGCCATGCCCGCGTGGGAAGCCGTGGAACTGGAGCTGGTGGCGGGCAAGCTCGTGACCGAGATCCGACAGTACTTCTACAGGTGCCTCCCTCCCCCGCAACCTGGCGCGTGGCAGGTGTCCCTCGAGTGAGAGGGGCTGCCTGTCTGCTGGAGACCCTGGCGTTCTCCACCTGCCAGCAGTGCAGGTGTGGGCCACAGGGCCCAGCATGGCCACTTCATGGTATCAGGCAACCAGGCTCTGCTTGTTGTGCAGCTCAGCCCCGAGCATGCTCCCTGCCTGCGATGAGCAAGTAGCATCGAGAAGGATCCAGCACCATCTCTACAGATGCCCCCTTCTTGTGCAGGAACGCCTCTGACCGGGAACCCACGTACGTGATCCACTCGCGGCTTGCCCACGTGCCTCCAGGCGGGGCCGGCGAGCTGCTGTGCCGGCGGGTAGAGCAGGAGTACCGTGTAGGACCCCTGGAGCTGAACCGTGAGGTGGTACTGAGGACCAGCACTGACCTGGACAGCCAGCAAGTGCTCTACTCGGACAACAACGGCTACCAGCTGCAGCGGAGGCCACCCCACGTCCATGTGCCCAACGCCATCGCCCGGGTATGCCCACCAGTCGCACCCTTGCACTCTGGTGGGGAGGGGTCTGCCCACCTGGGCTGGTGTGTCTCAGTGTGGGGCCTGGATCCTGGCAGTGCCCCTGTGCACGTGGGGTGGCAATCTGGCTGGGCTGGCCCCCTTACGCCTCGCCCAGCTGCCACATGGGCCACTTGTCTCTGCAGAATTACTACCCCATGGTTCAGTCAGCTTTCATCCAGGACACCAGGAGCAGGCTGGTGCTGCTGGCGGAGCGGGCACACGGTGTCTCCAGTCCAGGTGACGGGCAGGTGGAGGTACGGTTACGAGGTCTGGCCTACCCCGCCCCCTGGTGACTGCCTGGCCAGATGTGAGGCGGGATCTCTTCCCGCAGGTCATGCTCCATCGGCGGCTGTGGAACAACTTGGCCTGGGACCTGGGCTACAACCTCACACTGAATGACACGTCGGTTGTGCACCCAGTGCTGTGGCTTCTGCTGGGACCCAGGTCGGCGACTACCGGCCTGCGGCCACAGAGCAGCCTGGCCCTGCAGCACAGGCCCGTGGTGCTGCTGAGAGAGCTGGCTGGCACAGGCAGCCCCTCCCACAGTACGTGTCACCTCTGCCCCGGGCGAGCCGGGCACTCTGGGGGCTGCAGACATCAGAAAGGGGTGGACACTGTTGAGGTCAAGCGGACACTGAGGTCAAAGCTGCCACTCTCCTCACCCCTCTGTCCCCTCCTGCCACGTCACCATATTACCCCAGGCTCAAAGCCCAGCAGTTAAATGTATTTTTTAAAGGTTTATCTACTTTATTTGAAAGGCAGAGTTTCAAACATAGAGAAGGATCTTCCATCTACCGGTTCACCCCCCACATGGCTGCAGCAGCTAGGGGTGGGCCTAGCAGACGCCAAAGCCTAGAGCCCCATCAGGCTTCCCATGCAGGTGCAGGGGTCCAAGCTGCTTCCCTGGCCAGCAGCAGGGAGCTGCATGGGAAACAGTGCTGCCTGGAACCAGCCTCAGTACCAGCATGCTGCCATTGCAAGCACCACGATGCCACCCCCGTCATTAGCCCCTAAACTCTCCCATTTGTGCTCACTTGTAAGATTCTGATGAGCAAGTGCCTGAAGATTTTCTGTGCTTGAGTTGGAGAGTCAGGATGCTGCCAGGGCACGGGCGTGCGGGCTTCTGTCATGAGTGCTGCAATGTGCTGTGACTGCGTCCCAGGCAGCCCCCAGGTGGGGAAGCCAGGACTCGGGGTGGGGCCCCGGGGCGTGCTGGCTTCTGTCATGAGTGCTGCAATGTGCTGTGACTGCGTCCCAGGCAGCCTCCAGGTGGGGAAGCCAGGACTCGGGGTGGGGCCCCGGGGCGTGCTGGCTTCTGTCATGTGTGCTGCAATGTGCTGTGACTGCATCCCAGGCAGCCCCCAGGTGGGGAAGCCAGGACTCGGGGTGGGGCCCCGGGGCGTGGTGGGTTTGGAAAGGGATCAGGTCAGGACCTATGCTTGGAAGTTGTAAACTTCTGAAGGGGCAGCAGCTTAGAGCCTGGACGCCCACGGGATAGCTTGAGGCTGGGCAGCTCTCATGGTTATGGCTGTGTTCTGGGACACTCTTGCCCTGCCTGCCCAGGCCACCTCCTGTTCCCATTCTCCCGCTTTCCCTAGTGAGTATGTCTTGTATGCCCTGTGCTCGGCCACAGTCCCTTCATCACATTGCCAGGAGTGAGGCAGCCCTGTGACCAATAGCAGCCCCGGCCTCCTCCTGCTGCTGAGGGAAGCCCAGTGTGAGCTGGCCCAGTCACCAGCAGAGCCCACCCTGCTGCTGAGGGAAGCCCAGTGTGAGCTGGCCCAGTCACCAGCAGAGCCCACCCTGCTGCTGAGGGAAGCCCAGTGTGAGCTGGCCCAGTCACCAGCAGAGCCCACCCTGCTGCTGAGGGAAGCCCAGTGTGAGCTGGCCCAGTCACCAGCAGAGCCCACCCTGCTGCTGAGGGAAGCCCAGTGTGAGCTGGCCCAGCTACCAGCAGAGCCCACCCTGCTGCTGAGGGAAGCCCAGTGTGAGCTGGCCCAGTCACCAGCAGAGCCCACCCTGCTGCTGAGGGAAGCCCAGTGTGAGCTGGCCCAGTCACCAGCAGAGCCCACCCTGCTGCTGAGGGAAGCCCAGTGTGAGCTGGCCCAGCTGCCAGCAGAGCCCACTCAAGCCCATGTTGCTGTCCCCACCTGGCTTTAACAGACACAGTTGTACTGACTCTGGGGCCACCTTTACGGGAGGGCCCCATCTGCCACTCATAAGCAACTCAAACCCAGACTCAGACTTCAAGCACAGAGGTCCCAGGGAAGGATTCTGATTGGTCCTGCTGGGGTGAGATGGCCTGGCTCTGGACCAGTCGGTGTGGGAGGATGGCCACCCCAGCTACAGATGCAAAGCTAGGAGTAGGAGGTTGGGGTGGTGTCTGAGCTGAGGGCTGACAGATGCCAAACCAGGAGGACGTGATGACAAGGGCAAGGAACCGGAAGCTGAGCACTGGGGCCAGCAGGTGCCTCAGCCTGTCACAGAAATTACACAGGGAGCTCTGATGTCAGCGTTTGGCCTGCAGACCCTCTCCTTGCCCCTGTCTGTCTCCAGGCACCGACCCAGTGACCCCAGGACCCCGGCAGCAAGAACCTGTGACGTTGCCCCTGAACCTGCACCTGCAAACGCTGAGCATCCCCGGCTGGACGTACAGCTCCAACCACAGCGAGCACCTGCACAGCCTTGACTCAGGTTAGGTCAGGTCACACCACCCCTCCCAGACTGGGGACCATCACCAGACAAGGGGAGCTGTCCTCAGAGTCACCAGGAGGTCCAGGGGCAGTCACAAAGGCTGTGTCCCACAGAGAGGGGGGCTGAGTGACCAGGGTCAAGATGGGCATGGACCCTGGGACCCCAGCCAGCCCACAGCCCTCTGTAAGTGGGTCCCTCGTTCACACCATCCCCCACTCCCCTGCCATCCAGCCAAGTCCAGACCGCTGTCTATGTCCTGCCTAGCCTGGCCATCTGGAGTTTCCATCCATTCTTTCATCTAGCACCCTTGGGCCAAGTGCTAAGTAATGAGCAGAGTTTAGGGTAGGCAAAGGGCTCGGTCTGACTGAGCTGGCTCCAGTCAGTGCACACAGTGGTCCCACAAGGCATCAGGGAGGGCTTCCTGGAGCAGGCGGCACCTTGCTGAGCTAAGGCTGCAGCTGCATCTCGTCTCCCTCTTTCCCGACTCTGTGCTGTGGCAGCTCCAGGGCAGGGCCTTTGGTAACCCTCTGGTCCCGGGCACATCTGAAAAGTGCTTAGTAAGGCCCAGGAGGAGAGGAAGGAGTGTCAGCCCCCAGGTCTGAGCCAGGGCAAAGGCAAGACAGCAGGGGTGGGGGGAGTCCACTAGAGCAGGTCCTGGGAACCCCTTTGCCAAGGATGGGCCCTCCCCAGGCCCATCCCCTGAGTCACCCGCCCCTCGTGCCTGTGGGGCTCAAGGAGTGCCTTCCTGCTGTCTCTGCTCTCCACCGCAGCATCCGAGAGGCCTCGGGTGGGTCTGCAGGGCTGCACGTGGGTGGGCTGCTGAGCTGTGGCCACTCTGTGCTTTGCTCTGAGCCTTACTTGACCAGGGTAGGTCAGGAGACAGCGCAGTCAGCTGCCCTCTGCTGCAGTTCCCTCCTGGCCCCTGCAGGGGCCGTTGTGTGACAACATCCATCCCTAGGTGGGAGAAGGCTCCAGAGGGTGGGCACAGCTGGGGACAGGTGCAGCGTGTCCAGCAGGGCCCCCACAGCTGGAGTTCAGTCTTGTCTTGTGCTGCTCCCAGCACAGCAGGAAGCAGGGGGAAGCTGGTGCCTGTGCGATCCTTCAGTCCAGCACCTGGAGGGGGGGAAGGGACATCAGTCTGTCTGGGGGCGCTCCCCTCCTGTGACCAGACCCCTCCCACCCCGTCAGAGTAATCAGCGCTCAGAGGGGGCCGAGCCACGGTCAGCCTCAGTGTTGAGGGACTGGAGTGCAGGAGGTGCTGGGTGTCAGGGCTGGCTGGCAGGGGTCCTCACCACCTCCTTTACATTCTCCAAGGGCATCCCGGCGAGACCCAGGCTGACCTTGGCCGCGTCCTGCTGCGGCTCCACCACCTGTATGAGGTCGGAGAGGACCCAGTCCTGTCGCAGCCAGTGACCGTGAACCTGGAGGTAAAGGCCATCCCTGGCCACACAAGTCCTGCCCCCAGACCCGGCTGAGCTCCCCCGGCATACCCTCCCCACTCGAGGTGTAGAAACCCGGGACCCTGAGGGCTAGATCACACATGGATTTTGGGTTGTATGGATTTATATGCTTTCACGATTGTTCTGGAAAAGTCAAGACTGAGAACAAAGTGGGCTGTCCTGCCTGTCACACCTTCTAGGGTGACTCAGAACCATCCAGGATGAACCAGGATCTCTCCCCGGGACGGCCTTGGAGCCAAGGGGAGTGGGGGGAAGCAAGCTGGCAGCACATAAGACCTCCCTAGGCACCACCCATGCCCTCTGCACGGCCACAGCCGCCTGTGGCTGCTGGGGGCTAGAGCAGCTGGGACCACCTCACCCTGGCCACAGTGCCCGCTGCAGGAAAGGGGTCCCGGTGGAGCAGGCAGCACTCAGTGGCTTCTCTCTCAGTGCCCACCTGCCTGCCCAGCCACAGCCTTCTCATCTGGGAAATGGGCCACCATGTCTGTCCTCACAGGCCTGCCTTAAGCATGCAGAGCAGCAGGTGGGCCAGGTGCAAAACAGGCCCTGGGTCCCTAAGGACTCACAGCCAGTGCCATGGCCCCTTGCTCAGACATGGGGCAGCATGTAGCCCAGCCCTACCCGGGCTCCTATCCATGCAGGCCGTGCTGCGGGGACTGGGGTCCCTGGTGGCCGTGGAGGAGCGCTCTCTCACGGGGACATGGGATGCGCACACACTTCATCGCTGGAGCTGGAGGACAGAGGCTGGCTGCCGCCAAGGTTTGCAAACCCCTGCCTCAGCCCCTCCCCCGACCCTGGTCCTAGCCAGGCTGCATCCGCCTCGGGTGGGTGTGCACCTGCAGGGCTGCACACGGGCGTGTCAGTGAGCAGTGTGTGTGCATCCACACTGCATATCATGTGTCCAGTGCTGGCGGCAGCCACCGTGCCCCAAGCACAGGGACTCCTCCCTGCCCATTTGCCTGGCGCCTGCCCCTGCTTCCCTCTGAAACCCCAGCTGGGACGGGTGCCTCCAGTCCTCTCCAGGCCCCAAGTGTCTTCTTGGTCCAGGTTCCTTCCGCCTTGTACAAGGTACACAGGGCACGTGGTGGCTGCCCAGTCAGTGTGCTGGGGGATGGATGGCACAGGTGGCAGACGGAGGCTGGATGATGGATGGGTAGAGGGAGGAAGGAAGGGTGGGTTATGGTGGCTGGATGAGCAGATGTCCTTCCCAAAGGCTGTGGCTTCCAGAGCTCCCGGGGAGGAAGGGCAACCCATCCCAGTCTCCATTAGGAAGCTCCCATGGGGCTCGTGGGGCCAGGGCGCCCTGTTTCTGACCCTCCAGGCAGGCTGGGCCTTGGGACAGTAGCAGCAGCCCTGACAGAAGGGGGCGCTAAGGGCCGGTCCTGTGGGAGGTGACATCCTGGGACAAAGCCCAGGCTGAGGGGTCATGGTGGACAGACGCCTCTGCCCCGTGTTCCACAGACCGCCCCGCCTACCTCGTGAGGTCATCAGAAGGCCCCCTGGTCACCATCTACCCCAAGGAGATCCGGACCTTCTTCGTCCACTTCCAACGGCAGTGAGCCCACACCGGGGCCTTCAGAGCGGGGCTCCACGGAGCAGAACAGACCCAGGGCAGGGGACAGCCACGCAGAAGGCCAGGGGCGCAGAGCATCAGCGGCCAGAGGAGTGGGCCGCCACCAGTGTGTCTGCATAAAGCCTCTCCTGCAATAAACATGAGACGTGGCAAGCTGAGATTCTCCCTGTGACCCGTGAGCCCTCCTGCCCCTCGCAGGTGGACCCAGGCTGCTTCTGTGTAGAAATGCACCTGCCGCCTGAACCTGGGTCCTGCCGAGGCTTGCCAGGGTCACCGTGGTGGCTGTGCACCTGCTGTGCAGCCCGCACTGGCACGGCTTATGCTGCACTCCTGGCGCTGCTGCCAGGGGGCTCAGCTGTGATCACCATCCTGGGAGAGCACTGCAGCCGCCAGCAGGTGCCCTCCCAGTGGGGGGCACAGAATGACCGTCCATGATGCAATGTTTTTTTATAAACTTTTCAAAATTTATTACTATTTAATTTTTATTGGAAAGGCAGATATGCAGAGAGGAGGAGAGACAAAGAAAGATCTTCCATCCATTAGTTCAGTGCCCAAGTGGCTGCAATGGCCAGAGTTGAGCCAACCCAAAGCTAGGAACCCAGAATTTCTTCTGGGTCTCCAACATGGGTGCTGGGACACAAGGCTTTGGGCCGTCCTCGACTGCTTTCCCAGGCCACAGGCAGGGAGCTGGATGGGAAGTGGAGCTGCCAGGATCAGACCCCGCGCCCACATGCGATCCCGACGCGTTCAAAGCAAGGACTTTAGCCGCTAGGCTACTGCGCTGGGCCCAAGTTTTTTTTTAATATCTATCTATTTATTTACTTATTAGAAAAACTGAGAAACACAGATTGAGAGAATAACAGAGACAGGGGGATAGAGAGACCTTCCATGGGTTGGTCCACTCCCAACATGGCCACACATGCAAGGCTAGGCCAGGCCAAAACCAGGACTCTGCAACTTCAGCTAGCTCACACATGGGTGACCAGGTTCAAAGCTCCAGGGGCGTCCTCCACTGCTTTCCCAGGTACGTTAGCAGGGAGCTGGCTCGGAAGTGGGACAGCCAAGATGAAAACGGGTGCTCACGTGGGATGCCGGCACTACAGGTGGAGGCTTAACCTGTGGTGTTGTTTTCCAACTCGCCCACTTGGTGGGAACCACTTATTCTTTCCTTTAAAATCAACTGATTGTGAAGCAGCCTGTGAAGTTCCCAGCCAAACTGAACACCAAGTAAGGCGTTCTTGCCCTCCCCCTGCCCCTCACACAACCCACTGTCCTCCCCCGACTCCCCACACGGCCCACTGTCCTCCCCCTGACACGGCCCACTGTCCTCCCCCTGACACGGCCCACTGTCCTCCCCCCATTCCCCACACGGCCCACTGTCCTCCCCTCCCACTCGGCCCACTGTCCTCCCCCCCGCCAGAGTCCAGCTCCAGCTGAGTTCGGAGCTCGGGAAGGGTGTGTGGAGTCGGCGATAAAGACACAGACACTTGTGTTTTTGCTGCCTCCTCGCTCAAGAAGAAACTGTCCTTTTTATTTATTTAGACACATCACAAGCCTCTGCACAAACATTTGATTTTTTATCTTTTACTTTAGAACTAAGACAGCATGCACAGATGTTCAATTTTTACTTCATGGTCAACCAGCTGCTCTTAAAGATAATTCTGTAGTTACTATAATCAGTTTCTTTAAAGCAAGCCGTTATTCATTCTTCAGAAGTGGCCATTGGGTGACAGCCAGAACTCCAAGGCCAAGGCACAGATGGTTACCTGCTAATCAGTAAAACATTCCTACTACATTTTATTTTCACAACTTATCTCTCACTTAATGGGAGAAATACATCAAAAGAGAAAAAAATATAAGGGTCTAAGACAAAAAGTTTCAAACATTAAATCCCCCTACGACTGCAGGCTCTCCAGCCTCATAAACAATCAAACAATAAGCAAAAGTATATCTCTGTGATGTTAATAGTCATCCTATATTTCCTCTAGTTAAAAGATTATGGGGCCTGGCACGGTGGCGCAAGTGGTTAAAGGTCCTCGCCTTGCACGCCCGGGATCCCATATGGGCGCCGGTTCTAATCCCGGCAGCCCCGCTTCCCTTCCAGCTCCCTGCCTGTGGCCTGGGAAAGCAGTCGAGGACGGCCCAAAGCCTTGGGAACCTGCACCCATGTGGGAGACCCGGAAGAGGCTCCTGGCTTCGGACCGGCATAGCATCGACCGTTGCGCTCACTTGGGGAGTGAATCATCGGACGGAAGATCTTCCTCTCTGTCTCTCCTCTCTGTATATCCGCCTTTCCAATAAAAAAAAAAAAAAAAGATTATGAAAGCGGCTAAAGCAGCTACATTTTCTATGCTCTAAAGAGTTGCAAGGACAGGCTAACCTTTAAGGTCACAGTAACTATATTTTTGCCATAGCAGTTTCAGCTCATACTCACGTCACTTCCATTAGTTTGTAAAATTCTTGTTAAGCCGTTTCCCAGAAGGCATGCTATATGTCTGGGCCCGATTTTAGGACAGTGGGTAGGCACACAATAAGGTGTCCAGAAATGGCATGGGTTTAATTGTAGGTTTAATTGTACTCCTGAGCGCAGTTAAAGGCCCACTCACTGAGACATTATCAATAACATTAACTCTTAAGCTCACAGTAGTTGCCAAAGCCATCTCACAGGGGCAAACAATGCCTCAATAGATTACAGAATTCTTAGTGAGGTGCTTGAGTGTCCATGCAAACGGGGTGAGACTGCGTCAAGGTGGTCAGAGAGAAATCCACCGGGCCCTGCCAAACAGCTGGAAGCTCCCCAGGCCCTGCCAAGCAGGGAGCTGTTCTCTTCACACCCTCGTGTCATCCACACCTACTGCACAGACCCCAGCACCCCCCGCCCCCTCACAGCCCACTGTCCTCCCCCACGGCCCGCTGTCCTGTCCTACCCGGAGTGGCACACTACTCCAACCCACGCAGCCGCAGGGATGTGTCACAGTCCTCAGGTGCTTAGTTTATGTTAGGGCTCCTGGCGTGCTCAGTGTTCTGTGGGTTTGGACCAGGGCACAGGACAGGCCTCCACACCATGCTACAGTACAGAGCATTTTCACTGCCCTAAGCAGCCTGCCTTCCCCTCCGTCCCACACGACCGCCCACCAGGCCGTGGCTGCGTACCCGGCCTCCTCCAGCGTGGGGCAGGTTAGAATCATGCAGTAGCCACCTGGTTTGGCTCCTCTCACCCGGCCACACACACGTGTTTCTCAGGTCTTTTCATGGCTGGAAGACTCGCTTCCTTCACACTGAATTGTATTCCGGCGCTGGGCTGCACCACGGGTCAGCACTCACCCACCGGGATGGCGTCTGAATGGCTTCAATGCCGGCATGGAACAAAGCCATGAACAAGGCCAAGGCCAGCACTGAAGCCGTGTGTAACAGGCTTCTGCGTGGCTGTGGTTCTTGGCGCCCTGAGGACAGCGATGGCTGGATTCTGAGGGTGTGACTTCAATTCCCAAGCGACCGTACAGTTTTGCAACAAGACATCCATGTTCCCCATGCTCTGCATCCCCACCAGCACCGGGCCCTTCCGCTGCCCTAGTAATGAGGCCACAAAGTAGGGTTTTTACAAGAGCAACAAAGAGAGGTCTGATAAAAGGTGTACGCTCAGGGCCACCGTGATGGCTCAGCTCGCTAATCCTGCCTGCAATTGCTGACATCCCACGTGGGTGCCCGTTCGTGTCCCAGCAGCTCCACTTCCCATCCAGCTCCCTGCCTGTGTCCTGGGAAAGCAGTCGAGGACGGCCCAAAGCCTTGGAACCCTGTACCCACGTGGGAGACCTGGAAGAGGCTCCAGGCTTCCATTCAGCTCAGCTCGGCCACTGTGGCCATAAGGGGAGTGAACCAGCAGACAGGCGACCTTTCCTCTGTCCTTCCTTCTCTCTGTAAATCTGCCTTTCCCATAAAAATAAATACATCTTAAAAAAAAAAAGATGCACTTACCGTGTGCCCAAATTTGGCATTCACAAAGCATTTTCTCAACTTTTGTCTCATCTTTAACTGTCATGTTGAAAACAGCAGCTTGCCTCCAGTGAACAGACTGAAAACAAAAACCAAATTTGTGGCAATTAAGCAAACTGGATTCCTGAAACACCTACTGTTGTATGGGGGCTGAGTCAATAGGCCAGGAAGTTAACCTATCTTTCCCCAAAATGTGTGCTGGGCAACTGTTCCAGCAAATTACGCATGCCAAGTTCTGTCCAGCGGGTTTAAACACAGGATTGGGTAGAACGGGCAGGCGGTGAGGGTCAGGTAGGGCAGACAGGCGCACAATGCCTCTTCCAGGTGCGGTGAGCTTCGGATCAGCCTCGCCGTGAGTCAGCCCAGGCCTTGTCCCCCGGGGGTGCGGAGCTCCGGGTAGAGAATTTCCTGACACAAAGCATGGAAATCACTCTAAGAAGCCTAGGTGCCTGGGGCTGCGCCGCCAGCGAGGAGGGCACAGGGCAGTGGCCCGGCCAACATACTGACAGCCATGGTGGTGCACAGACGGTGGCGAGTGCCCACGTGGCTGAGCCATAATCAGACTGCACGGAGATGACCAGCACAGAGCAAGACAGGCAACGCCTGCAGCAGTGCCACCCTACGCACACATCCGGGGCTCCCCTGCAGTGGGGTCACACCGCTGGCCACACTCAAAGTCCCCAGGTGTCGCTGACCGCACCAGGACCTCAGCCTCTGCCTGTCCTGGGTCTAGTCTTTCATCGCGCCCCCGCTGTTGGACCTATCACTGTTGACGTGAGCCGCACCTGGAGTGAGCATGAATACTGCGGAGAGACAGCTAAGCTGCGACCTGAGGGGTCTGCATCCCCGCCGCTCCGCTTGCCTAGCAGCTCCCTGCTAATGGCCACGTGGGACACCGGGATGGAGCTCTTGGCTTTTGCCATTGCCGCCACTGGAGAGTGAACCGATGGAAGAATAGTCGCTTCCCCTCTGCCTCTCTAGTCCATGAATACATCTTTTTAACCCGTTAAGAGTGCCACAGGTCCAACAGCTGGGGGCTTTGACGCCCCCAAATAATTACCTCAGCTAAGAAACGACACAGGGCGAGGGGCCCGAGAGCGGGTCTGGGGCCCTCGTGCCTGAGGCGAGCCAACCCGGCCGCCCGCGGGTATTTTGCAGAAAGGTGCGGAGGCCGACGCCCGCCCGGAGCCCCGCACTGCGACCACCGAGAAAAACCTGCCAGGACGCCAGGCTGAGCGGACCCAGTGCGCCTGCGCGGCAGGCCGCGCGGAACCCGGCGGCGTCCGCCTTTTATAGCCGCGCGCGCGCCCGCCCCCTCCGCCCGGGCCGTAAAGCGGCGCGGCCGGCGTCGTGAGAGCGGTCGCAGCGCGCGCCGCGCCGGCGGACGGCGGGGCGTCCATTTTGTCGGCCGCGTCCGTGCTGGCGAGTGGCTCGCTGGTCGCTCGGCCGGACGGGAGGCGCGTGAGGCCGGGCCCGAGTGCGGACGGGGCGGCGGAGCTCGGCGGGCAGGCGTAGCGAGTGTCCGCAGCAGGCGGCGGAGATGCGGCCCGTGGACGCGGCCGAGCCGGCCGAGCCCGAGGAGGTGGAGGTGCTGGAGCCCCAGGAGGATTTCGAGCAGTTCTTGCTGCCACTCATCCGCGAGATGCGGGCGGACCTGGCGGCGCCGAGCCGCGCGCACGGCGGCCGCCGCTGGGAGATGGACAAGCTGCTGATCGCCGTGCGGGCGCAGGTGGAGGCGTCGGAGGAGAGCGCCCTGAACCAGCTGCAGGGCCCCGGGCGGGCGGCCGCGCGGGCCGAGGAGGCCGACGAGAAGGCCCGCGAGACGGCCAAGATGGCCGAGATGCTGGTGGCGCTGGTGCGGCGGATCGAGAAGGGCGAGTCGGCGTGAGCGCGGTGAGGGCGAGGGTCCCGGGCAGGGTCGGGGTGGCCTGGAGGGGCTGAGCATCAAGGGGTGACGGGGGTCAGGGTCCCGGGGATGGGGAGGGGCCCGAGCATCAAGGGGTGACGGGTCGGGGTGGCCGGGAGGGGCTGAGCATCAAGGGCTGACAGGGGTTGGGGTCCTGGGGAGGGCGTCGCGGTTGGGGTGACCCTGGATCGGGGTTCCAGGGAAGGGGTCGAGCATCATGGGGTGACCCTGGTGTGGGGTCCCGGGGAGGGGTTCAGAGTCGGGGTGATCGGGGTCGGGCCCGCTTACACCCGCTCTGTTTGATGTCCAGGTTCGCGGCCCACTGCTTGCGGTCGAGTGATGGAGAGTGGCTGACCCCGGAGAAGCTGAAACCAGAGAGCCTTTTGTTTGTTTTTTTTTCTCTCTCCCCTCTGTCTACGCTCTGTCCCAACTTACACTACGTTTCTGCTATGGTCTGTGGTTAATGACCTCAATATAGGTTTTGCATTGTTGAGTGTTTCGGTTTGGGGAAGTACCTTTTTATTATTACTGTTATTTGGCACATGCCCTCCCCTGCAGGAATCTAGGCCTAGAGTGTAACCTTTGGCAGCGGTCGATTGGTTCCTGGGCTTTGGCTGCGATGTCTGAATTTCGGCAAGTCCGGCGAGCTCCGGACCTCTGGGCTGTGAGACGCCGGGGACTCGGAGCCGGAGCGCCTGGGCCCGGAGGAGGCGTGGACGCTGGTGCTGTTTGCGGGAACTTTAATTTCTGTGAGACCAAAGGAGGGGAGTTGTGCGTGGTACTGTGTTCCGTGTGACAGCCCCAACTCGGCTTTATCTGCCCGTGCCCTGGGAGTCTTAGCAAGCTAATGGACTGCACCCCGAGTGGGGCTGCCCGAGGCCCTCGGCCTGGAGGGGAAGGGGCTGTCCACCGCAGCCTGCTGGCCGGAACCGGAAGGCGGACAGCTGTCAGGGTCACGTCCGGCTGAGTGCTTCAGCAGAAATGATCAATATTTGAGGTCAAACCCTACCGCGTTGAGAAGAAAACAACCTACCGTGTTAATAAAAGTATTCATTTGCTTGAGAACACAAATCCTAGAAAGTTTATTAGGAAGTGTCTGGGGGTGAGCCATCTCCCTTGGTTGCCCTGGGAACGTACTGGTCCCTGCAGTGTGGCAGACAGGACTGGGCGCTCCTTCGTGCCCACATGGAGGGCAGCCAGGCGGCAAGGCCGGAGGGGCACAGCCCCTGGCCGCCGTCGTGAGTCGTGGGCAGCTCTGCTGGGCATCTCGACTCCCCCACCAGGGGCCAGTCGCCGCAGAGCTGGTCATGGCTGGCCCTCAGATGGTGGACAGCTGTGCTCACAGGCCCTCGGCTCATACCTGTGCGGGTGTGGCACATGTGTCCATCCAGGTGTGGGGGCTGGGGGCACCGGGCATGACATCACCCGGCCGCCTGGGAGGGCAGCAGGAGGCCGGGTGTGGTCAGCTCAGTGAGGGGACACGGGCATCGGGGTGCCCCATCCGCGGGGGGGCCCCGGGGAGAAGGCAGTTGTGCACAGCAGAGCTAGCCAAGGAGGCAGGATGGTCAGTGGGGCAGGCCAGGCTGCTGCCCTGCGTCCTGGGCTGGCCTCCCAGGCGTGTCGGCAGGCAGCGGCATCAGAAGTGGAGCAGGGGGGACCCGCCCGGCAGTTAGGGAAGCTCCCTTGCCTTCCGGTGGGTCAGGGGCGAGCCCGAGCACCCTGCAGGCTGGCTGCGTCCTGCCCCGTTGACCCGCGGGTTCCCCGCCGGGAAGGGGCCGTTCACAGCGGAGCAAAGGCCTTCCTTTGCACAAGGCCGCGGGAGTCAGCTCCTGCTGCCCTCAACATGGCCCCTGGCAGGCCACCTGGCCGTCTGGGCTCCCACGCTGCGGGGTCCCCTTCAGCGCATGCGCGCCATAACCTGGCAGCCGCAAAGATGCAACTGCGCCTGCGCGGCCCAGGCTGCTGCCGCAGACCCCCCCCCCCCATAGGGCATGGCCGTAAAGGACTCCTGGACTGTCGTGAAAGGGATGGCCCAGCGCCGGTTGACGGCTGGTGGCCATGTTGAGTGCCGGCGTTGGCGTTTTCTGGGTGTAGTTTGGGAAGTGAGATATTAGCAAAGCAAGCGAGCCTCGAACCCTTGACGAGGCGTGGGGGCTCCCCGGAACGCGCAGAGCGACGGGAGGAGTGAGGTGGAGGCCTCCGAGCGCAGTGCCGCTCTGCTGCTCACCCGGTCTTGATTCAGCTGACACCCGAGGGCCTCTGGTCGTAGGACAGTCAAGGACACAGGACGGCCGTGCGGCCCACGGAGAACCCGCGGTCTCGCGGTGCCGGTAGCTGGCCTGCGCCTCGTGCAGGGTCCTCTGCCCGCAGCCTTCCCCTCCGTCTCCATGCTTCCCGCTTGTCCCCGTCGGGCTGGACCCCCAGCCTCGGGGACGCCTGCGCAGAGCGTCACCAGTGCTGCCTCCCAGGGCCATCGTGGGCACGGGGCACTTGGTGGGCCATGCCTGGTGGACGCCCTGCAGTGTGCTGGTCGCACTAACGCCGGCCCATCCTTTACAACCCGTCACCGGTGCCCTCAGCGGCGGCTGGACAGGAAGTGGACAGGCCGGTGCTGTGGTAGGGATGCTGGCGTGCCAGGTGGCTGCTGGACCTACCGCCCCAGCCCTGTGAGACTTTGGAAGGCCCCAGTTATTCCAGTCCTGTAGAGCCTGCTGCTAACTCCTGCCCAGGGACACCACCCTCTGGACGTCCTCCTGGGTTCATCCTCAGCCCTCTGCTCTTTTTTTTTTTTTCCTTTTAATTACAAAGTCAGATATAGAGAGAGGAGAGAAGAGATAGAGAGGAAGATCTTCCATTGATGATTCACTCCGTAAGTGAGTGCAACGGCCGGTGCTGTGCTAATCCGGAGCCAGGAGCCAGGAACTTCCTCCAGGTCTCCCACATGGGTGCAGGGTCCCAAAATATTGGGCCATCCTTGACTGCTTTCCCAGGCCACAAACAGGGAGCTGGATGGGAAGTGGAGCTGCTGGGATTAGAACCGGTGCCCATATGGGATCTCGGGCATTCAAGGCGAGGACTTTAGCCACTGGGCCACCACGGCGGGCCTGTTCTGTCAGCATGCGTGATGCACCCTCCTCTTCCGGCCCCTCACACAGCGTGGGCACCCTCGGTATCTCCTTCGTTTGACAGCCTCAGCACCACCCAGGAAGGCAAGATAGGCTCCAGCCTCCCAGCCAGTCTCCCCAGGAGGGCGGCAGTGAGCCACAGGACTGAGAATGGCCGGTGAGGAAGCCTGAACCCTCCCAGTGCACGCTGCAGTGTCGCCAGTCATTCCTTTGGTCTGTCCCCGGGACTCACTGCGGTGACTCATGTCTGATACTGGGCTCCTTGTAGATAGCGTTGCATTGATTTTTGGTCTCAGACTGTTAAAATATTGACCCCACAAAACAAAAAGAAAGCAGGAATAAAGCTCTGGGCTGCACAGCTGAGCCCTCGGATGTGCCGTCTTGTGTGGACGTCCTCCCTGTGGGAGACGTCTCCTCCCAGGATGGACGATCCTATCAAAGATGCGCAAGCCCCAGAGCTAATTCGTGCAGCGGCGAGGATGACCACAACAGGACGAGTAGTCTGGACGCTGCGGAGCAGAAGGCTGGAGACTTCCAGAGTGGTGGGGGGATGTTGAAGGAAGCAATGTGGCATCTGGTCCACCTGGCAGACCGCCTGGGCGTGCTGCCCGCGCTCGTCCCGAGGAGGTGTGGCCTGAGAGGAGCACCCACAGGAGGTCCCCAGGGGCAGAGGAGCAGCTGCAGGGCAAGCCTTTAGCATTGTTTACCTGTCGAAAGGGATTTTAAGACTTGTTTTATTTGGAAAGTCTTTTGAAGATGCTCAGATAGGAACATCTGATGAACCAGAGTCATGAGTCATAATCCCTAATGAGCTATCAGTGTTAACTGTCAGATTTGCAGTGCAATTAAAGGGGGTCTGCACTTAGGCGGAGCAGGGTTGAGTTAGGGAAGAAGGTGAACGGACAAATGCTTCATTTTCTCCCCCTCCTGTGTCCACAAGGAGGAAAGGGGGGGGGTAACTCCTTGTGTCAAACTACATGGGCGTCTGGGGACGCCTTAGAGACCCGGATGGGGAAGGGTGTTCCGAGGTGTGACCTCAGTGGTTTGGATGGTTCTGAGACACTGTCGGCTTCATTGCACCGGGATTGAGAAAATCTTTCCAAGGTCTGTTAGCTGGCCGGGTCCGCCTTAGTCCATCCACAGGCAGGAGCCTGTTGGCCGGGAGAATTGTCCCACCTGTGCTGCTTTGCATCCTCTGATAAGGCAGTGGACATCTCCTGCTGGCCCAGATGACCTGATGCCCACGTCCACCCTGTGCCTCTGGGCATGCTGATGATGTGCAGGCAACTGAGGAAGTGTTGTCTTGTCATATGCCCTCCACAGTTGGACCACATAGATTACAGTTTGTGCTGTGGCCAGGGCCTGAGTCCAGCTATCTAGTTGGGGTATCCCCCAAGAAACTGCCTGGGGTGACCTCAGACTTGATTCCCATGCTGCAGCCAGTGCAGGCTCAGGTTTGATCTGTCAGCTGTACCAGCCAGCACACATACCAGTGGGTGCAGCTGCCTCGTCAGTTCTGCCATCAGCCCTCATCTCACACACAAATTGATAGGTGCTGTGACCTAGCCCGCCACCGGCCCTGTCTTCACACACACCAGTGGGTGCCACAGCCTAGTTAGGGCGATCCCCAGGCCCATCACCAGCCCTGGTTTTTTGTGTGTGCTAGCATGTGCTGCACCCTAGCCAGGCCCATCCAGCATGTCATCTGGCTCTCGTGCACACCATGGGAGCTGTAACAGCTCAGCCTGACGCACCTCCAGAACCAGCCTACACACTTGCCTGTGGGTGCTGTTGCTTTGCCGAGACCAATCCACCGCCAGTCCCGGCTCTTGTGCTCAACAGCAGGAGCTGCAGCCTAGCAGAGGAGTGCCCATAGACCCCCTGCAGGCCCACTCCCAGCAGCTGCCAGCAGTGCTGCAGCCTATCCCAGCCAGCCTGCACACCTCTGGCTCTCGGACACACTCAAGAACGTGGCAGCCTGGCCTCGCCTGGCCTGGCCCACCCCAGGGCCATTCTGCCCCCTATCTTAGCTCTCATACCAGTGGAAGCAGCAGCCCAGCAAGGGAGTACCTGAAACTCTCCTTCAGGCCTGCTCACAGCGCTAGGTCTTACACATGCCAACGGGTTCTCTGACCCACCCCCCATCTTGACGTCTGCCAGCAGGTGCTACAGCCTGGCCAACCCCCAGTCCCAGCTCTCACTGGAGGATGCAGCAGCCTAGCTCAACCTGGCCCACTCCCGGCTCTGCTATGAACTGGCTGGTGTTATGGTCCCAGGCTCGGGCAACCTACATTCCACAGGGCTTGTCCCCCTAATTGCCATGGGAGGCCTGCCCCCTCCCTCTGCTGCTGAGCCTGACTGCTAGCTGGCATGGCTGGGTGACAAATGTTCCTGTGGCTGAACTTGGTAACCCCACCCTGAGGCCAACAAGACAGATCACCATGTCCTGGGCACTTGAGCCATTAACAGCTGTGTTCTCGGTGTGTGGCATGGGCAGGTAGGTGCCTGGGACATGTCCTGTTTCTTCAGCTCGAAGTCACTTGCAGGTGGCCTCTGTCAGGTTGCAGATCTCTGCTACTTTTCCTGGGAGCCGTGTACGTGGGGTGAGACATGGCTCCTGCCCGCAGGTCTGTGGCCGCTGCCCTCACAGGCCCGTGGCCGCTGCCCTCACAGGCCCGTGGCTCTGAGAGCCTTGCTTCCCAAGGCCCTGAGCCTCCTCCCTCATCAAATATTTGTCTGGTACATTATCAAGGGGAGAACCAGCTAGATTGAGGCCATGTTTGTGCAGTAGAGCTGGGCGGGTCTGTTGACTCACCTCTTGCCTTTGGGTCTCCACTGGCCATGGACAAAGTCTCAGGTTGCTGTGGAGGGTGGGTGAGGCCCTGGCTTCCCTCACCTAGTTCCCCATGGAGACCCAGCCGGCTCGGGTGCACAGGCATTGCCGGGCTGGGGAGGCAGTGAAGAGTGGGGCTAGAGGTCTTCAGCCGCTGATTTCCTTGCCCAAGCGGCCACAGGGCCAGGGGCTGGGAACTCCTTCTGCGTCTCCCACATCGCGGACAGGGGTCCAAGTGCTTGGGACATCCTCTGCTGCTTTTCCAGGGGCATCAGCAGGGGACCAGGTGAGAAGAAGCAGAGCTGGGATGTGGGCTGTTAGTCTAACGACTGTGCCACAATGCCAGCCCACCCCAACACACACACCCCCCGGTGCCAAGAGCTCAGGGGTGTGGCACAGCGGTGAGAGCCAGGCGCACAGCGCTGGATCCCAGCAGGAAGTCTGCTGCTCCGTGTCCTTTAGGCCTCCAAGCCCAGCCCCGCGTGGGGCCTCACTGCTCACCCGCACCCCTGGGCTTGCCTGCTCCAACTTCACAGCCCTCCCGACTCCCTTCACCTGACGGGCTGGCATGGCAGACACCGCCTTCCTCTGGGCCTCTGCTCCCCCTCCCAGCCTGGCAGCAGGACAGCTGGCAGTCCCAGGGAGTGCCTGGCCTGAGCTTGCCCACCGTGCAGTCTGGGCCTGGCTCTGCCCAGCATGGACGTCCTCAGAAAGTCACAACGTGACCACAGAGAACAGAGCTGTTTCCTGGAGCTGTCCCCACAGTGGCATGTCACTGTTAGGCCTCATGGACACCACACCCAGCACCTGCTGGTTTTTCCAGCCCCTCCTGGGGCTCTTGGACTCACTGCCCGTCTTCTGCCTTTGTCTGCCAGGCAGGGTCCCTAGGCTGGGAAGGGCGGTGGCTGGCCGCTCTACCTCTGTGTCCGAGTCACTGCGTGGGAGCCTTCTCATCCATTCGCCTGAACCGGGTGCTGGACACATCAGCCTGCAGGCCGGCAGCGCCACCAGGTAGTAGGAGTTCGCTGAGGAGCTTGGATCGGGCCAGCTGGCCTTCCCGTTTGCAGGCACGAACATGCCCTCTGGGTGCTGTGGGCACTTACATAGGTTCTGCGGTCTCACAGGCCCCAGGACTCTATGGCATCTGCTGCTGGAGAGGAGGTCGTGGCACCAGGGACCTGGCTGCCCATGCTGGGTGGGGACAGGAAGGGTGCTCACATCGTTTGCAGGAGACTAGCTTCCTAGACCAATGTGTAGTGCAGTCCAAGGCTGGCCTGGGAGGGGTTCCCTGCCACACCAAGGCCACCAGCAACCCCTCCTCCGTGTGCTTCTGCTCCAAGGACAGTGCCCTGACGGGCTCGAGGTTGCTGGGCTGGCCCACTGTAACTGCTGCAATGCCCAGAAGCAGGGCTGAGGCCCCGCACACCAGTCAGCAGGTCGTGTCCCTCCCACAGATCGGCCTTGGAGGTCTTGTGACACAGCAGGGACCCTCGGATGGCCTCCAGTGCCCTGCAGCCTCCTCCGCCAAATGATATGGCCCGGCTCCCCGAGGTCTATGCTAGCTGTACAGTGGGGACAGCTGGTGCTATAGCCCTGGGCTGCAAGGGACCGAGGACCCCCAGCTGGTCCCTGATCGCCGAGGGGGCATTAGGGTGGCTCCTACCTCTGTCCTCACTCCTTCCACTGATGCTTGGTCATGTCTGTGCGTCAAGCAGCCCCACCTGCTGACATGTCACTCATTGCTCACTCAGCAAACAGCATGCATCCCCCAACCCCAGCAGCCCACCTGGGGAGGACAGGACACCACCAGGGCTCAGTGGTGACCCCACGATAGGAGAGCATGGCAAAGTGAGGCTGCCCTGAGGAGGCCTATTCCTGGCCTGGGCTGAGGAAAGGTTCTAGAAAGGAAATCCTAGTGAGCATTGCGCGTTGGACCAGAGCCCGGCAGGAGGGCAGGGCTTGCTGGCTCTCCCGCCGCGTGGGCCACACCCCCTCAGCCTGGCCTCATAAAGCACTGTCGCTCCTGCCGCAGTCCCAGGAGGAAGGTGGCTCAGACCCAGTGGCACCATGACGGAGCTCGAGACAGCCATGGGCATGATCATCGACGTCTTTGCCCGGTACGCGGGCGGTGAGGGTGACCCCCAGAGCCTGACCAAGGGTGAGCTGAAGGTGCTGATGGAGAAGGAGCTCCCGGGCTTCCTGCAGGTGAGGGCCAGGTGGGGCCGGGAGGCCAGAGAGCCGAGGGACGGGGCCAGACCCATGGCAGGGGCTTGGAAGCAGCTGGGTTACATGGCCACCCAAAGCCGGAGCTCTGTGGGGGCAGCTGTGTTGGGACAGTGTGGAAGCAGAGGGCAACACCCTGAGGGGTGTGCACACTGGCCAGGGGAGGCACGGGGCATGTCCACTGTGGACACTGGGTGGGGAGGCCGGGTACAGAGCAGGTGCTGAGGATTAAGCCTCCATGCACTGCAGCCGTGCCTGGCCTCCTGTGGGACCCTGGAGAGCGCTCCACGCCTGGGCACTGGCCACTGACCACCTCCCCCTGCAGGTGCTGACCACAGCTGTCCCAGCCCTGCCGTCTGCCCTCCTCCATGTCCAGGTGCCTTATTGCTTGGCATTTGTGAGGCCAACAGCAATCAGGACCATCAACAACTCTTCCTGGCCCCGTCCTCCCTGGGCCAGGAGCCTCAAGCAAGACCCCTACGGGGCCAGTGTCCCCTGCAGGCCTAATACAGGTGCTTTAAACATTTGTTTCTGTCTTTTTAACATTTATTTTTATTTGAAAGGCAGATTTACAGAGTGAGGAAAAGAGGTTAGGTCTTCACTCAACTGGTTCACTCCTCAAATGGCCATAATGGCTGAAGCTGAGCCAATCTCAAGCCAGGAGCCAGGAGTTTCTTCCAGGTCTTCCACATGAGTGCAGGGTCCCAAGGCCCTGTGCCGTGCTCTGCAGCTTTCCCAGGCCACAGGCAGGGAGCTAGGTAGGAGATGGAACAGCAGGACATGAACTGGTATCCTAATGGGATGCCAGCACCATGGGAAGGAAGATTAGCCGGCTCAGCCATGGTGTCAGCCCCTCAAGATGTGACAGAGATCATCTATCCACTAGTTCACTCCTCAGATGACTTCAGGGCCAAAGTTGGGCCAGGTCAAAACAAGAAAGCCTGGAACTCCACCAGTCCGCCATGTGGGTGCAGGTTCTACCACATGGGTGCAGGCTCTGCCATGTGGGTGCAGGCTCTGCCTTGTGGGTGCAGGCTCTGCCACGTGGGTGCAGGGTCCGCCACGTGGGTGCAGGGTCCGCCATGTGGGTGCAGGCTCTGCCATGTGGGTGCAGGGTCCGCCATGTGGGTGCAGGGTCTGCCATGTGGGTGCAGGCTCTGCCACATGGGTGCAGGGTCCGCCATGTGGGTGCAGGCTCTGCCATGTGGGTGCAGGGTCTGCCACGTGGGTGCAGGGTCCGCCATGTGGGTGCAGGGTCCCAAGGACTTGTGCCATTTTCCATTGTTTTCCCAGGATATTAGCAGGGAGCTGGGTTGGAAGTGAAGAAGTGGGGACTCACAGGAGACATGCATTGGCCCTCTCCCTGGCTCCCTGCCCCTCTGGGCCCAGCAGCCTCTGCCAGCCAAGGGTGTACCCCGAGGTTGAGCTTTGGGAACATTCAGACTTGGGGACCTGAGTTGTAAACTGCAAAGATGTCAAGCACCTGAGAAGGCTGCCTCCATTTTCCAAATGCCAAGGTGGCGGCGCTTTTGACAGCCGTCACTCCTCTTTCTCTGGTGTCCGTGTCTGTGGGAGGGGCAGAAGCCAGGCGTGTGGGGATGGCCAGCCCTGGGCAGGACCTCCCTCTCCTCACGGAGAGCTGGCACGAGGGCTGAGGGCAGCTGTGTATGGCAAACTCTCCCCTGAGGCTTACTGCGCACACTTGTCCATTCCGGGAACCCACACACAGAGCTGATCACCTGTCCCAAGTGTGAGCATCCATGTGATTTTATGTGAGAGAACTTGCACCTGCTGGCTCACATACACCAGGGCTGGACCAGGCCACAGCCAGGAGCTCGAGCAGGTGTCCAGCTCGGGTTCTCGTGCTGGGACAAACAGGGCCACCAGTGTGTCCCCGCTTCAGTGTGCATGGCTCCACAGCTGTCCCAGTGTTGCCCGAGGGCCTCTGGACCAGGCCACAGCCAGGAGCGTGAGCCAGCTGTCCTGCGTGGGTGCCGACAAGAGCCCAACAACCTGTGCCCTCACAGCCACCTCCTAGGGGGTACACCGTGAGAACCAGATCACCTAGGGGAGCCTGGTCACGCCCTCGGGCAAGCCTTCCTCTGAAACAGAGACAGCGGAACCATGCACCCTATAAAGAGCACACCCTGGTGGCCCCGCTCCTCAGCGCCCGGCCTGGCAGTGCCTGGCAGTGCTAGCACTGAGAGTTGCGCAGGGCCCGTGGGACCTGTTCACTGGCTCCATGTGGAGCTGTGAGTCTCTGGTGGAGCGTCAGCGCCCCCTGCTGCTGTGCTCTGGTCACACCTGCTGCCAGAGCCAGGTGTCTGCACCCCAGCTGTACCTTTCTCCCTGTGTGGCCCAGGACAGGTCCCATGGGGCCACCTTACCATCCCCAGGAACCTCCTTACTGCTGGCTGTCATGATGACCAGTCTGCATTGGGACACACACGCACACTCAGCAGAGGCCAGAGGAGTGTGTGGCGTGTGTGTGTATATACGTACACGGGTCTGTGCACCTAGAGCCAACGACGCCTGGAGCCCAGCGGGGGGTGTGCATGTGTGTACACATGCAGGTATGTGTCATGACCCACAGCAGAGCCCAACCCCGGCGGAAGGCACCTCAGTACCCCAGTCCCCCTCAGAACACCACTGCCTTGTGTCCCATGCAGTTCCTGCTTTTTGCAGCCTGTCACCCGGCTTAGGACCCACCCCAGCACCTCATTCCTGGGCCTGGGTGACAGCAGTAGGCCTGGAGGTGGGCAGTGAGGCCAGGGCCTGGCACAGCCTCCTGTGTCACCAACCCTGCCCTCACCCCCTTTCTCCTAGAGCGGGAAGGACAGGGATGCCGTGGACAAACTGCTCAGGGACCTGGACGCCAACGGAGACGCCGAGGTGGACTTCAGCGAGTTCGTCGTGTTCGTGGCTGCGCTTACATCCGCCTGCCACAAGTACTTCGTGCAGGCTGCGCCGAAATGATGCCCACGGGCAGGGGGAAGCAGGTGGTGGGCATGGTGGCCCGCTCTCAGGCATACCTGCTGCTGTGCCTCTGAGCAGCACATGTGGGGGGCACAGGCCAGTTCCCTGCAACACCCAGAAACTTCCATGTCCTCCTCTGCGCATGCATACACACAGAGATGTAATTACGAAATAAACCGTCACAATCTTTAAGAATGTGCCTCAGTTAGTGTCAGCCCGCAGGACGGCAGGAGGTGAAAACCCACATCAGCCTGGAACTGGCGTTTCCCCAGAGCCGGCCTGTGCCACCTGCCGCTCCATGTGCCAGTCCTGCGGATGTTATCGTAAGAGCCGGGACGCACCACGGCACTGGGCAAGCCTCGAGGGTGGGCAGGAGTGGAAATCTTTTCTTTTTCTTGTCCATGAGCATTTCAGTCGGCAGTGTTTTAATCTGAGGAGGAAGCACTGGCCCCGGGCCCCCCTGGGTTCCCTTGGCGTGGACTGAGCAGACACGGACAGCAGTGACAGCCCACGGGCCTGGGGGAGCATTTGAACGACAGTCCTCTGAGAACCAGGCACTGGCTCACGGCCTGGGCGGCCCCTCCCTCCAAGTGGTCTTCAGATGACTTCTGGCCTTCCTTCTTCATCCGTGGGAAGGTCTCCACGGACACGCCCTGGCCCGGGACATCAGTGGTGATGCTGTGGCCTTGACATCCTGCCCAGCGCACTTACAGGGTAGGAGGCGCAGTGGTCGGAGATGTGGGGCAGGGAGCCAGGAAAAGCAGGGCGGTCCTCACGGGGCTGGACCTCCGGGGAGTCGCCCCTAACGGATGCTGCTTCATGTCCCGGCAGCCTCACTTCCCATCCAGCTCCCTGCTTGTGGCTTAGGAAAGCAGTGAAGAGACGGCCCCAGGCCTTGGGACCCTTCACCTGAGTGGTGCTCCTGGCTCCTGGCTTCAGATCAGCTCAGCTTCAGTCATTGCAGCCACTTGGGGAGTGAATCAGTGGATGGAAGGTCTCTCGCTCTCTGTAACTCTGCCTTTCAAATAAAAGATACACCATCATTAAAAAAACAAGCAAGAGGAGGCTTGAAGCTCAGGCAGCAGTGTGCGGTGGGCGTCACTGCTTGGGGTGTGCAGGGGTCTTGGCCGTAGACCACCGACCCAGGTAATGTGGTGGTCTTTGCAGAGACATCGGAGACAGTCATGGTGAGCTTGACTGTTTATTAGTAGCCGAGCACAAGCTTGTATAGGGTGGGCTGAGGAAGCTCAATGTCTGGATGGCAGCAGCAATTTTATAGGATAATACATGTTACACGTTACAGGGGAGCCAATCAGCCTTCAGGTCGCACACAGCTCTGGGAGCACGCACATCCTAACAAGGTTTATAATGAAACAGGTTTCTGGTAAGGTCAGGTGGGCGGAGGAGCTAACCAGTTACCAGAAAGGGCCGATGGGGGTGGGGCCCGCCTGTTGACTGCTTTAGGGTGTGCACCCAGTTTATGGGGTCTTTAGCCTTCCTGGGACCTCAATTTCCCCTGTAGCGCAACACGAGGCCCTGCCCAACACATGAGTCACACTGCAAAGTGACAAAAGTCAGCGCGAAGGAAATAACCTCTGGCCAAACCCCGTTTCTCCATCGAAAGCTACCTTTCTCCAAAATACACGTGACCACCTAACCCGCACCAAAGCCACCAAGGAGACAGCTACGTGCGGGCAAAATAATAATGAAACAGCTGGGGAGGCAGCCGGCTGTTTCCGCTTCCTGGTGGGGATGGCCATCCTTACCAGATGGCCAGCGTCCAGTGTTGTCCGCCTCTGGGATGTCCACACCCCGTGTGACAAGGAATGTGAACTGCCCAGACACACCCGCCTTCTGGAAAGGTCTGGAAATGTCTAGGCTGGGCCGGCTTGGAACAGCTCCCAGCGTCCGGTGTGCCTCTGCCAGGACTTCTGGCAGGCTTCGCAGTTTGACCAAGCCGGAGCCCCTGGTCACCCACTTCTCCCCGCCCGCCTGCCCTGCCGCCTCCCGTTGCCGCGCAACCGCGTCCTGCCGGCACCTAGCAACGGGGACGCGCAGCCGTCCAGCGGCCCCTGGCATGTTTCCGACTGCTTTCACGGCCTAACCGGGGATACTTTACGGCCTGCGCGAGGGGCCCTGGACGAGCCGGGTGTGCCGGCCAAAGTGATTTACAACTGGCGTGGGTGTGTGTGTTTCAGGTTTATTTATTTTCATTAGAAAGGCAGATCAGATTTGCAGAAGGAAAGATCTTCACTGCACAAGGGGCCGCAGCGGCGGGAGCCAGGAGCCCGGGGCCCCGTCAGGGTCTCGAGGCCTCGGCCGGTCCCCGCTGCTTCCGTAGGACCGGACGGACAGCGACGCCCTTCCGGGATGCGTGCGTGTGTGCGTGCCTCTGTGCGTGCGCGCGGCGGGGCGCGCCTGTGGGCGTGCCTCTGTGCGTGCGCGCGCGCGAGCCCTGCTTCCGGCCGCCATGGACGCTCCGCCGCGCGCCGCGGGGCCGCCGGCCGAGGCCGGGGAGGAGGACGCCGAGGACGCCGGGGGGCCGCGGGGCGCGCGCTGGGGCGGCGACAGCGGCCACGTCTCCCAGAGCCAGAGCCGCGCGTCGGGGCCGTGGGAGGACGAGGGCGCCGAGGAGCCGCCGCTGCGCCGCGCCGCCGCGGGCTACGCCGCCTGCCTGCTGCCCGGGGCGCGGCCCGAGGTGGCCGCGCTGGACGCCAGCCTGGAGGACCTGCTGACGCGCGTGGACGAGTTCGCGGGCATGCTGGACCTGATCCGCGGCGACTCGACGCACGTGGTCCGCGAGGGCGTGCCGCGCATCCACGCGCGCGTGGCCGAGATGAGGCGCATCTACGGCAGGATCGACCGGCTGGAGGCCTTCGTGCGCATGGTGGGCAGCCGCGTGGCCCGCACGGAGCAGCAGGTGGCCCGGGCCGAGGCCGAGCTGGGCGCGCTGCCCAGGGCCTTCCGGCAGCTGCTGCACGGCGTCGGCGTGCCCGGCCTCTTCGCCAAGCCCGCGCCCGCCGCCTACGAGCCGCCGCCCCTCTTTCGCACCGAGGACCACTTCCCGGGGCGCGGCGACAGACCCCCGCTCTGAGGGGCCGCGTCCGGCTCTGCGGCGCTGGACAATGCCAGGGAGAGTCGCCGGGGCCCCGGCCTTGCTCAAGACTGCCTGCTTTACAATCCAAGTGTCAAATAAAGTTGTTTAAGTTATTGTTTGAAAGCACACAGTGACGTTGGTTGTGGTAGTGGGTTGAACAGGCTCGGAGGGGACATTGTGTGTTCTTGGGAAAACGGGCCTTGCATTTGCTGGTTCACCTCCAAATGGCCTGGAACCTACAGTCACATCCAGGTCTCCCATGAGGCTGCAGGGGCTCCAGCCCTCGAGCCATCCTTCGCTACTTCGAGGTGCAGTAGCAGGGAGCTGCGTGGACTTGAAGCAGCACTGCGGTATGGGATGTCGCCATTGCGAACGGCTTTTCCTGCTGTGCCAAGCACCGACCCCTCCCAGCACATTCCTTTCTTCCTGTGTGCCAAGTGTGAGACTGAAGGCCGTCAGGGCATTTCCCCCTCGCAGGGAATCATGGAAGGCCTGGGGCCCCCGACGCACACAGGAGGCCGAGATGGAGAAGGGGCCCCTCGTGGCTGGGGGAACCGAGAGCTGTCTGTCGCCGAGCGGCGGACCTGGGGCGGGCACAGGTGTTCGCTTGGTGTGATGAGAAACTGGTGCCCGCCCTGGCTTTGGTCACCAGCTCCTTAACATTTTTAAATCCAGGTGAATCACTGATGACAAATTAAGGCCCTGCTGAATTTAGAGGCAGCCAGTGCCCATGGTTACCGCTGGGCACCTGCTGCGTGCTGGCATCCTGTGACACTCAACAGGAAAACAGTTTCCTTCTAACACCCGTGTGCTGATTTTTTTTTTTTTTTTTAAATTTCAGGCCAATACTGGAAAGCAGGTGGAACGTAAGACGGGCTAGCATGGGATCAGTTGAAGGTCAACCTGTAATACCTGGGTAGTGGCACAATCCCAGGAGTGTTGACGAGTGTGGGAAAGGAGAACATTGCTGACTTCCGTCAAAAGGCAGTTGAGAAAGCGTAGGAGCCACTCAGGACCTCTTGGCAATATGGAGAGAGGCTGTGCTGGCTCGCCCCAGCTGAGCCTGGCCGGCTGGAGTGGGGCTCTCCACCTCAGGATCCCCGAGTTCCAGCTGGGTCTCCCACGGGAGCTGAAGCACTGGACCCGTCCCTGCTGCCTCGACCGTGGCATGAGCAGGAAGCCAGAGCCGGGGTGCTCGGGGCTGAGCCAGGTGCCGGTCCCCGGGATCTGACACGCCAGCACCAGCGTGTCCTCAGAGCGGTGCGCAGGAGGAGCTGGTCACTGTTAACCGCTGACGGTGCTGAGGGAGCCGGGCACCTCCGGCTGCAGGGACAGGCTTCCCCGCCAAGGGGTGCTGCGGGAACGGCCTCCGGCAACCCGAGCTGGAGTGCGGAGGACCACGAGGACCCCGGGGGACACAGGAGCGGCTGGTCTGGGAGCCACAGGCCTTGGCGTGATGGCCGCAGGCTTGTCCGCAGCTTTTGTCTCTGCCTTCCGATGGGTGAGTGGGTGGGAGGGGACGGTGAGGACCGGAGCGCCAAGGAAATGGGGAGGCCAAGACGGGACTTAGAGGAACATCTCCAACGACCCCTCCCCCACTTTCTTTCTCTAAAGATTTGTTGAAAGAGTTAAAAAAAGAGAACAGGAGAGACAGAAAGATCTTCCATCTTGTTGTTCATTCCCCAGATGGCTGCAACTGCCAGAGCTGGGCCAGGCGAGGCCAGGAGCCAAGTCCCTCATCTGGGTACCACGTGGGTACAGGGGCCGGAGGGCTTAGCCACCACAGCTGCTTCCCAGGGTGTGCTGCAAAGTCTCCAGCTGCGTGGGCTCATTCTGATGGCACAGCAGCCTCGGTGGGGATGCTGCCATCATCCCAGCCTATAGGTGCAGAAATGAAACCCAGACAGGTACCACAGTTGTGCCACATGGGGCAGGATTTGAACCTGACCCCCATGTGTCACCGCCTGCCTCAGGCTGGGGGGCCCTGTCTGACCTGGAAGAGTGTGGTAGTGACAGAGTGGGGGCCCAGGGAAGCAGCCCGAGAGCTCCCAGCGGGCAGCGCGCCTCTGTGCTGGACCATTCACATCCATTCGAATTCCTGACTCCAGTTCCCTTGCG